CCCCCCCCATCCGTGCCAAGTGTCGTTTCTACTGCACCATCTCATTTGCTCTGTGTGTGGTCGATCTCCCACACAGCACAGCGAGCGCCTTGCGGCCGCGGAATATCCTTACGGGGGAGGGGGGGAGAATGAATCCTCCGATAGCAACACATGAGCTCAATACGCTTTGGCTTCACACGCAGCTCTGAGCTCCTATGTTGCATCTTTGCCGCCTTCGGTGAGACAGGAAGTTGCTAGATCTCTGCAGCTAATCAGCGTTCGTTCGGCGTATGCCAGTCCCTCGTGTCATATTCGTCTTGGGGTACCTCCCGCGACATCTCGGCGGTAGCCATGTCTTCGCCATTGAAGGACCAGGACGATCCTCCTGCAGTGATGGCGCAACCTCCTCAGTCCTTTGCATAATTCTATCGGCCATAGAAATAGTGCTTTTCGTGAAGTCTGAGATCTTTTGCGATTTTAAGATTCGGGGTGGGGGGGGGGAGACGCACAGATTGAGCAACCTATCCATCGGTGGGAAATCCAATTTGGAGACCGGGAGTGGGAATATATTTGCGATCTGCGCTTGGTCGACCGCGAGGGAGCGAACGCTGGGTAGCTTTTCCATGCCTGGCGCTGGGATCAATGAGCCACGTCCAAGCCGCCGTTCTTAATGTCGAGTTTGAAGTCTTCTGATGTATCTTCGGCAGGTCTTGTTGATATTAGCTTCGAAGTATTCCAGATTCCGGACGGCTCCGATGATTCCTAGCATAATGTCTGGCAAACTGGCCGCCTAGTGATAAGCTGGACGTAACTGCTGTCACAGGGTCGAAGATGCACGTTGAGTGAGATAAGATACGGAGAACATATTCGTTGATACGATGTACAGGTTCGTCTAATGCCAAGACATGTCAAACGTGATACTGAAGTAGTTTTCCCCTTTCGATATTAGCTTTTAGGGGATCATCAATCATTGTTCTTGGAGTAGAATTACTAAATACTATATCAGTGGTCTAGAATCTAGATAGAGATATATAAATAAGAAAGAGTAGTCGGAGTCGATCATGCCCCGTTTCATGCGTGAATTAGCAAAGTGAATATAATTCCGCATTCAGAGAGTAAGGATGTCATTCAATTACGGTTGTATAGTGTAGCGGTTAGCACGTGGGATTTTGACTTCATATCAGAATCATGTTCTGCAAAGAACTTTCCCGAGTCCTGGGTTCGAGCCCCAGTACGACCTTCGCTCGATGTTTTGCATTTTGACCCTTTTATACAGTAATAGGAGAATTTATGCAGGGAACAGATTTTTCGCTGCGGAATGATTGGCGATCTTGGCTGAATGAAGTTGCCAATTTTTTTTAGATCCTCGCTAATTGGCTAGTTTGACCAACCTTCACAACATGTCAGAGCTCCCTCCTGGCCTTTAACTCTCTAGTCATCAAAGTCTCACTTTATAGAAATTCGTACTGGTGTTTTGGTAATTCAGACCCCTTTAAAATCCAGATTTCGACTTCCCGAGCATACCAGCCTGCTCTGGCAACTGTGTCATTTACGGCATTTCCTCCGGGGTGTGATCAGTGTTCCAGAAGAAGTTCATTGCTGCTTACATTTGCTGGCTGCTTAAGACGAACAAATTCATCCAGAATCATCGCGCTTCAAATAACAGGTCGATATCCAAGTTCCAGCGTCTATCCAACTTCCGTAGCGACAACTTGCTCTGCCCCGCCTACTCCTACCATCTCGTCCGCCTTGTCCGACTCGTTACTTTCATTTCGTCGGCCTGGTCTGACTCACTGCCCCCTTCTCCTCCGTTTTGCAAAGCTTGATAATTTCTTTGATTGAGCCCAAAGTCCGACGCGGGGGGATTCGATCTTCTTTCAAAAAAAGTGGTAACCCTTTGATAGTCCTTTCTCCAGCTCGCTGGACAGCGGTCATCCTACTGTGGTACGCCTCTAAGACTGCTTCCGGATCTTCCAGACCTTCTCGCAGGAGAGCTTGTACGAGAAGCTTCTCGGAATCTAGCCATACGTGAATCTTCAACGGAGCAAAATACTTGTGGAAGATGGCCGCGCGCCACTTATTGAGCTTGAGGATCTGGCCCTTGTCCTTCCAGTCCGAAATTTCATGCTTGTATTCGAACTTCTCTTCTGGTACAGGAGTCCATCCGCGAATTGGATCATTTGCCTCTTTGCGTATGATTATCATGACCTTGGAATTGTCTTTTCGTCCTACGATAGCTCTGCCTCGATCGATTCCGGTGCTGACTGCTCTCTCGCCAGGCCTCACGTGCGATCGGCGCGGGATGTTGTCGCTATGCTTGGGCGAGGGCTGCCTCGCAGATTAATGTCCGGGGTTGATCCAAGTCTTTGCCCCTTTGCAAGCTGTTGGTCTTCATTCATCTTAAAAAATGAGATTCGGAGCAAATTTACCTCATGCACTTGATCCTCGGACTTCTGGGTTCTGTTTTTCTTGTATGGTGGCCTCTCGTCACTAGATTCGGGGCTGGCCCGCTTGTTCTTGACCTCTTGTCTGAGGGTAGCGATGTATTGGGCGATACCCTCCATGGTAGGTGGCTCCCTATCATTCATATCTCTTCGTCCGGCCCGGGCCGTGCTTCGAGGCTTCTGATTCTCAGCAAAATTAGTTAGAAGCCAGCCAGATTATGACCAGGAACCCACCTCCCTATCGTCTGACGTTTGCCATATCTTCTTCATTGCAGCTTCCAAAGCCTGTGTAGGGTTCATGTTCGCAGAATCGGGTATGCCAGAACCGATGGACGATCGTTGAGGCTGAGCACGTAAGAGTTGAGGTATCCGTCGCTGCTGTGTTTGCTCGGGCATCCGCTATATGTCCACCAACGTGGACGGATCGTTGTCACAGAAAAACCGCGGGTAATTGTGATGTATGATTTAAAACGCGTATGCTGAAATTCGGTTTGGGGTTGGAAGTGATTTCTGCTGACGTCCGAGTCCAGCGTCGAGTATCGAGTATCGAGTATCGAGTGTTTCGTAGTGACAGATAGAAAGAGCGCCGAGGACGAAGAGCCGCTGCGAGATGGCAGAACCAAGTCATGCTCTCTGTTGAAGAAAGCTGGCACTTGTGCCTTCTTAGTCGTGTTTTTGATGCTAATGTTCAAGGAAGGAAGGAAGGAAGCCTGCTACCCTCTTTGGAAGCTGCACGCCGATTCCATCGCGTTGATATAATGTCCCGTTCTTGTCCCCGCTGTCTGAATCTCTGCCTTGCAGTGAATGGCCGTGTGCTTGGAGCAATAAAGCACTTGACCTTTGGATGTATAATCCGCTGCTGTCTCTATCCAAGGCGCTGACCTGCAGCCCGCCAGACGTGAATCAAAACCACCAATACTACTATACCATCTAAGGCCCTCTTAAATTCCATCTTTCAAACTTTGACCGACAAAGGGGCCAGGTTTCCCCCATCTTCTTAAAAGCGCTGACGATAAAACCCTTCAAAGCGGTAACGTTGGGTAACGAATAGCTCCCAAAAGCACGTGAGCGTCTAGCGCCATTAACCGAACTAGACCTATGGCTGCTACTTTATAAACCTCGACTTCCACTCGAATATTCAATTCAGTCTCGTACCTTACAACAATAACATCGAACCCAGAGTAACCATCAACCCGAACTGCAACAATGTCTGCAATCCCAAAGAACGAAGTCGGCAGCACCGTCGCTGACGCTAATGCTGATGTCGAGCTTGGCAGTAAGTTTGTTTACTATTGTGTTTATGTACGTGCTAGCTGACTCTGAACCAAGATATCTCTACGTACAGCCTAACCTCCACTCTCTGCCGCCCACCCACAAACTTCACCTCCGCCTCTACTCTTAAGGACTCAGAGATCCCCCAACCTGCCGATCCAGCTAGACGCCCCCGCCTGCAACGATTGTTCGTAAAGATCGGTCAATGGATGAAGAAGAAGTACCTGAAGAACCCGAGCAAGGTCATCATCCTTTCCGTTTTCTTCATGGTATTCCTAGGAATGATGAGCTTATCTGTTGGCTGGATGGTCAACTCTCCCCGTCTGCCCGAATTGCCCGAGAAGGATCGAGACTATCGCGTCCTTCCTCCCACTCTTGCATAATCGCAGCATGTAAGTTCAAGTTAATGAAAAAGGGAGCATAGCTGATTAGCATACAGGTCGATCTCCTAAAGTTTTCGATACAATCAAAGATGATCTGACTTGTTCTGAGTGAGTCGAAACCCGAAATGCTGATTTCGTCCACATCTAACAATCACCAGTTCAGCTTTCGATTCTGCAACGAACTTCCAGCCTTCGAGAATGATACGATTACAGAAATTGAGTGGCATTATGATGAAGTGAGCTCTTGCGATGGGTAAGAGTGCTTCCTGGTCCTACCATATATTTACTAACTTCCAGTAGGAGATCTTCAGATTCTAAGACAAAATTCGATCCGTGATCACGCCTGTAACTAGAATCCTTCCACTTACACTGTGTAAGTTCTGCTGTTCCAATGTTTATGAGAACTCGACTGATGATTCAAAGTTCCGTTCCGATTTCTTTGCGAGGGTATGATAGTACACTAGAGGCAAATGGAAGCTACATATCAAAGCTTTGCTGTTCACCTTTGTGATGTGATTTCCTACAACTGAAAGTGAACTCGTGGCCCAGCTCAATGACCCAGCCTCTCAATGACCCAAATTCTTTGATATAATTATCGCACCCATACTATTATAGCCACCCTCTAGGCTCTGTCCGCTGCGGTAAGAGTGCATGTTGTAGAGGACCTGAGCCCCGAATATACCAAAAAGGGATGAACTCAGCTAAGTCACTCGGCCTCAGTCTCCGCCCATCCCACTCGTTGCATAAGCTTAGTGCTACGAATCAAGGCTCCAAACCAAATAACTGGAATGTAAACTGACTGGCTACGAATTCAGCATATTATATAGGGATGGCATCGAAATTGCGCTGGTCTGACCCCAGAGCTGTGGAATTTTGGAACAGGAGCCCAGCTTACTGAAGGAGGGGGAAGCAGAGAAGCACCTACCTATTTTGAAAAGGAGATTTAGAAATTAAATATCTGGGAGCTGACTTGGCTCCCGGGGGTCCCTTAAGGTAGCCTCTGGTTTCTTTTTACCTCTTTTTCCCCATATTACATGCTAGGAAGGGTATGCCGGGGTATGTATGTGTTCCCGCGCTGGACTCGCTGCAGATTCTAGATCTGCTGCCCAAAAATACAAAAAGCGACATAGGACCGACAAGTCTTTATATGTGAGAATCCGATACCTATTGGATGAGCTTCGGCGGCTGGCTGATACAAAAGATAGATGTGAATTCGGTACCTGAATGAATCTTGCTCTTTCCAACCTGCCTCTTGCGTACAGTAAGTGCACAAGCAGTAAAGAGCGAGCAAGCAAGCTTCACCCACCGAAGGCGAAGGGATGAAACAGACCTACCAGAGCCGAACGACAATCATATATAGGAAATCAAGGGTTACTCACATATAATACATTGCCCCTTGAGAGGAACGGACGATGCAACCTCTGAATTAAGCTTCTGCAGGCTGTTCGCTTGTTATAGTACCTACAGTACGTACCGGTACCGGTAGTACCGGTAACCAAGTATGGATAAAGCAGTCCCCGCAGATCCACCCCAACGTTCATTCTTGCACTCCACTTCCTACAATAATCGAGCAAGCAGACTCGTGGGCATATCTGACCGGATAAATGCTCACACACCAGACACCAGACACCAGACATGCCCATGTCGTGCGTGCCATGCCATTGCTACGCCACGCACCTCTTCTGCCATTCCGGCGGCCCGACAGGTTCCATTCCTCTATTCCTCTCTTCCTCTCCTGCCTACCCGCCAGCCAGGACAAAAGAGATGTCGAATCTGTTCGCGGCGGTTCCCAATCTTCTGCGATTTCCTCTTGTTATTACCATCTCTCTCTTCTCTACGCACCTTTTCCCCCTACCACTTACGGCCAGCGGAAAAGAGCCTTGACTTTCTCTGTTGTGGGATACACGAAGCGGCCAGGCCTGTGCTGACTTTGGATTCTCTGCTGCCCGAGATCATGTCCGACCGACTCGGCCTATGCTTCAAAACCTAGCTAGGTATATTTTGACTCTCGGCTGGCCACGTTGGCAATGGGAGTGAATATCGCCGGCCACAATATTTTCAATAGTTGATGTTCTTGCAGTGCAAACACCAGGAGTCAACCTACTGCCAATTTCCCTTTGTCGACTCAGTACAGCATGGACGAGTGCCACCAGCAAGACGGAGATACTCCGGTAGATCTGCCCGGGGAGCCTCCCTCCTACGATAGCCTCCTCGATCCTCCGATTCTCCGTCGAAAATATAATATTCAGCCGCGCGAAGACGAAGGCCGCGAGATCCTTCCAGCCTACTCGAGTGCTATCAGCATACAGAATGTGTTCTCCAAGAAGATGGAGCTCGAGGGCGTTGTACAGAAAGCTAGAGATAGGACCTGGTACAAGGTGCTGGCCACATTGCAGGGGACGGCGTTGAAATTTCATAAACTGAAAGGCCATTCGCTATTCCTTGGGAAGGATGATGGCGAGAAGCTGGGAAGCTCGATTTCCTCCAAGAAAGGCTCTTTCTTGAAGAGCTACAATCTTCAGTATGCGGATGTTGGCATTGCTGCTGATTATATCAAGTAAGTACACATCATGAGGTTTCTCGACGCTGTCGGACCAGCTAAAGACCTTCGATGCACCTTCCAATGTACCTTCAACACAATGTAATAACTCACATTCGACAGGAAGCCCTTCGTGATACGCGTTCGCGCCGAGACGGACCAGTTTCTCCTCTCTTGTAACAAGATTGAAACTTTTGTTACGTGGCTCCAGTCCCTCTTCGCTGCTATCGACCTCGCACCACCCCTCGATGACCGGGAAATCCCCCGCGATATTTCCATCCCTCGAAGAACCCGCAGACGCGCAAGAGCTAGGATTTCAACTGTTCGGCCCGACGCAAATTTAGTCCGGGAACAAGAAGAAATTATCTCGAGCCAGTTTCCCCGGCTAGGCGAGGCGAGCGTGGACAATGCAGATACGTCCACGACCCAAGAAGACATCGAGACCTTTGCCGAGGAAACAGAATCGTCTTGCACCCCTCCTTCGATTGCCGTTTCATCTCCCACGCAATCAGAATCCCGGCCAAACCTGTTCTCAAGGGCACGTCAGGCCATTTATTCTACTACGCACCTGAACCTCACAGCAGCCGCGACTCCCAATCCCTCCATAACTTCTGATGGTAAATGGCGACCTGAACACCAGTGGACACCTTTTTACGACATGTTGTATGCGAAACGTTGTATGGCTATCCTCACCCTCCGCAGTCCCAGGAAGAGTAATCTGGTAATTGTGAAGGGAAAGCAATGGATCGTGGACTTGGCCACGGGGAAGCTGGAGAGATATCAGCCTCCTGATTATGGGGAGCTTGAGGGGAAGGAATTGACTGGTGGGTCGGCTGTTAGACGGAATAGGATTTTTACCAGAGCCTAGGACTCTAGGAATTTTCCTCACATCTTGGCTCCTTGGGGTAGTTCCCATTTTTGTCACTAGGCCAGTCTCGGGCAGACATTGAGCACACGTTGAGCGAAGAAAGGGTCAGTGCCTTGTTGATGGCGTTTGAGATTGCAAACCACTAGCATATTTGTATTTATACCTCATTTATCAGGAAAACAGAACGATGTTGGAGAAGGAAATTAGTGGCAATCCCTCCGCCCAAATTTCTACTCCTTTCTAAGCATATTCACTTCTGCTGTATCCACTTCTACTCGCCTCGCCCATTCCAATCCTGGTATATCCGTCAATGCCTCCAGAACACACCCTGAACGCCGACCTGTGACTCCTGTGACTACCCATCCCACAGATTGCCTTGCACATGTCCACTAAGCGCCAGCATCCCAAGCGAGCGCGAAGCCACTTTGCCCTAACTCTCATCCAACACGCTTTCAGCCTCTCGTCCTGTCCTCGCAAGCTCCTCCCCTCTCTCCCCCAGCCTACCGCCTGCACCCTCCAGATCCCCGACCAGAATCTCGCCGAGCTTCAACAGCTCTTCAATCTCGGCCCTCTGTCTCCGGACCTCTTCAATCAACGTCGCGTTCTGCGACTCTGTGGTTTGAAGCTTGGCGTTTAGGTGCGATTGCTGCGACTGGTGTAGTGGGGTGGTGTGGGAGCGGAGGAGAGAGGCCGCGGGGAGGGTATGCGGTCTTTGTTGACCGATGGGATTAGTGAGGTTTCGAGAGGGGAGAGGATGAAATAGTAAATAAACAGAAAGAATCAATGATGAAAACATCGATCTCCCACCCGTGCGACAAAACACAGTCCCTCCACCTTCCCAGGCCCTCAAAAGACACTGATTCTGGAAGAAGAAGAAGAAGAAGAGACCCATACTCACATCACCCTCTCCCTCACCCTCCCAGCCTCTCCCCCTGCCCTGCCCTCCTCCTCCTCCTCCTGCTCCCCCCTCGCCTTCCTCCGCCTCCCCTCGGCAATCAGATCCTCCAACAGGTTCAGCCTCTCGACGACGTTCCTCTCCGCGAGGATCGTCTCGAACTCGTCGCGGGCGAAGGCCTCCAGCCGGCCCACCATGCTGCCGTGCATGCCCTTCAGCGCGGCGGGCGCCTGCGCCGCGATCGACGGGAAGCAGGCCGCGAAGGAAGCGTACGACACCGACGCGAGGGTGCGGCTCAGCGCGAGCTCGTACACTTCGATGAATTTCTTTGCGCGCGGCCCGGGCGTCTGCGCGATGGGCGGCGCGGGCGGGGGCGAGGGCGAGGCGGGGGCTTCGGCTTCGGCTTCGGCTTCTCCTGTGGCTGGGGTTGAGGTTGGTGGCATTTTGGATTGCTGCGTTGGGGGGTGGAGGTGTTCGGTGCGCTGCTGGCGTGGGAGTTGAGGAGGTCGGTCTTCTGATGTTTATTTACTACCGGTATTTAGATAATGTTCGCGACGCGACGAGGCTGAAGTGTGGGGTATTAATCTTCGGAGCCTTGTGGAACGAAGGAAGTGCTCTACTCACTTCAGTTGTCTGGATCGAATATAGACTGTGGAACAGCTTCAAATATAATGTTGGTAATCTCCCCTGGTGTGAAAAAAATTCCTTGCATCTATATTTTTGAAATTATCATCAGTTGTGAGCCAAAGTCGTTCCGAGCAATAAAAGGGGTTGAGATATTAAGTGCAGAAAATAAACAAGCAAACCTTGCCGATCACATTCGAAAGATATCATATCAAATATTTTTGACAGAATTTGGTGGGTATATGCATTATTCCAATTTTCCCGTCATGATAGGCATCATCTACCTCTCGTCATGACTCTGATATCAAACCAATCTCCTACAAGATGCTAATAACATGTCCAAGTGAAGGACTATGAAGTGATTGTACAGAACCCGCAACTCCTCGCCCAAATCATAGTTACCACCCGGATCGAGCCTCCTAACCTCAGTTGTAGTCGACCGTTCCAGTTTGATTTCTCTGGTTCCTCTCTAACCTCCTCCGTCGACGCCTCTCAGCAGCCGCCTCGGCTCCATCGCCACCATCCACACTCGGGCTCATCGCACTCCATGTCCCATGGCTTCCAGGACTTGTGAAATCCGCCAGTGGCAATGCAGCGTCGCTTGCACCGTGTTCGTTCGGTTTGCCGCTGTAATACGCCGAGTCCTTGGGCTTTCTGCTGCCTGAAAATAGAGGCGCGGGGGGTTCCAAAGGAGCCATTGAGGGAGGCGGAGTACTCTCTACTCGCCCCCCCTCTCGCCTATATCTTCGCCTTGACGGACCAGCATCGGTGCCACTCAGACTAGACATCGAGTCGGCACGTCTCCGTCGCCGGTCTGATCTCCTCGCTTGTCGTTCTGCTTCCGCCTCTTTCTCCGTGAGACGCCGTAATGTGACGTTCCGGTCCTTGTCTCCGTGGACCTTGACCTTCACGCTCACGGGCGGGCTGACGATCCCACTTCCCAGATCATTACGGCCTCCCCTGCTCCTCGAGCGCCGCCTGCGTTCCTCTTCTTTGGCTGCGAGCCTAGCTGCTTCCGCCACAGCGGCCGCAGCTGCGATCTCTCCTTCTCTCCTCCTCGCTGACGAGTGTCTTCTGCGCGGGTGACCACCAGCTGACATGTACGCCTCGCTTCCAGACTCTTCTTGATGCAAGAGGCCCTGTGGATCCGGTGGTGCAGGAGGCATAGACACAGGTTGTGTCACATCGTACCGTGATCGCCTCGCTTCCATATCCGCGGCTATCGGTCCAGGCTGGAAAGGCAGAGGAACCGCCGGGAGGGCTCCCGGTCGGACAGGATGCGGGTCATCAATTATCGACGAGAGATCGGACGAAAGTGGTCGCGATGGCCGTCTTTGCTGCCGGCGAGGATTGGGAACTCCGTCTCCTGTCAGCCGAGACGGGGTTTTGCCACGTCGAGCTCGTCGTTCTTCTTCGATGCGTTCGCTTTGAATACGGTCGAGGCGATCCTGCTCTCTTCTGTCTTGTCTGTCCTTCATCTTCTTTGCGAACCAGCCTAGTCCGAGGCCAGCTAGCACTCCGTTGCGAGCCATTTTGTTAGACTGGGCACGTCTCGATGGAGAAATTGTGGAGTCAAAATATGACGAATCAGTGTAGTCCGAACTTTGTCGACGAACTGGTTTAGGTGTGGTCGGCCCTGATGTTGCAGCGCTCATAGCTGACGCCGCCAAACTCGGGTCGCCTGGTCCTGGAAGGATTCCCGAACGGCGTGTTCTTCCTTCCTCCATCTGGTCAACAACGATGCTGTCCTCGCTGAGCTCGCTCTGATCGTGTCTTCGCCGACGAGAGGGTGTATCGTGAGCAACGGAAGAATAGTCATCGTCATCTGTTCTCCGCTGTTTCCTCTCATACCAACTCTTGGCCAGGCCAGCCGCACCGAAGATTGCTCCCGCTTTGAGCAGCTTGTCCATCATTCCACCGCTCTTCTTTGGTCTGTCCGAGTATTTTTCCTCCTCGGTGTAGCTTTCACTTCCTCTCCTGCTGGGTATTACCTCGGTTCTCCTGCTCCTACTGTGACTACGGCTTCTACTTCGACTCCTATCCCTTCGGCCCAGTAATGTAGCAGCTCCGGCGCCCACAGCCAACGGGCCTAGCAATCCTCCGAACCTGCTTGATTTCCTGTCCGAGATCACTGTTCCCCCACGACCACTGCGCCTGCCATCCCTTAACTCCCCATCAAGTGACGGGAGTGCCCGGTAGCACAAGATGAAGAATAGCACCAGTAGAAAGAACATCCATAAGGCATACAGGACGAACGTCCATTTGGGGCTCCCATAAAGCGTCAATCCCAGCGGAACCTGCGCAAATCCTAGTAGAGCAATAGCTCGTCCATGCCACTGGTGTAGCACTAGCTTTATTGGCAGCTTGGCCGGAGACCGCCTCTTCTCTCTCTTGTGAATCCAAAATCCACCAATCGCCTGTACCAAGATCATGGTGTATATCGCTACTCCGATGCCATGATGCGGGTTCGTGAGACTGCGATTGAGACCGACAGCATTGAAGCCAGTCACAAAAACCACGGTCGCAAATCCCACGACCAGAATTTGGAGATATACGTGCATTCGAAGAGCCCAGTACGGCGATCGAGTGTAGAACTGAGCCATGAGGATAGCCCATGGTAGGAGGATAAGGAAAGCGATGACCGCAATAACGCCATGCGCTCTGATCAAACCACGGTATCCGGGCATGTTCGCAAATCTATTGCCCATTCCTACATGGTCGTCGTCAGTAAAAAATCCCCGGGAAAGTAGAACCTTCTAGGGACAATACCGTTATACTGCATCGTCTCGAAATTCAACCCCACCAGGTTCGGCAGCAGGAAGGTGTTCTTCGTGGCATCCCATGTGCCATCGCCGACGTACATCGTGTTCGACGAATAGCTGCTGCTCCCCGCCGGCGACAGGTTGTCTGTGGTCATCACGACGGCGCTGGGCCGCCGAACGGCTGTCACGGACTCAACACGCTCTCTCTCTCTCTCCCTCTATCTCTCTCCACCCACTCTCTCCACGCTCCAACCTCCTCTCCCTTCCAGCAGATTTCGTAAGACTTTCGAGCAGTCCGATTAATCGCTGTACGTCGTCCTTATCGATAGAGACCCGAGGAATGCGGATCGATGGGGTCTCGTCGATCTGGTTTTCTGCGTCTTCTCTGGAATGCAAGTAAGTCCCTGTTTCGTTTCGTTTGTCGTCAAGGCCGTTATCGTGCGTAGGTGGAAGCCCAAGAAGTAAATACTCCTCATCGCTTGTTCGTTTCCCAGGGGATAAGATATTAGCTAAACTGCCTTTCTTCGTAAATTTTTGCACTGGGAGGACTGGTTGCTTGCTGCTGCAGAAAAGATGAGTGCTTTTTGATGGTGGTTCTCTGCTCTCGGAATCTGAGGATCGCTCTTCTGCTCGTACGGAAAGGGTCCCGTAGAACTTGGTTGCGCGGGGTGACGAATCGATTCGGGAGCGCTGCAGGTTGTTGACATTTGGACCAGTGGGGTGGCTGCGCTGGACTTGGTTGCCCGTCCAACGGAAAGGAAAAACTTGGAGAAAGGATTATTTATTCCTTATTGCTGCACAAACAAACGTCCGGGGGTGTTCGCCGACAGGATCTCGGCTTTCTCTCACCTTCCTTTGGCAGATGTCGGTAAGATCTCCAATATGCATGCGATTGTTGTCGTCCTTGAGTCGGTTCTATTCGTTGTCCTGCTGTGCTGGCTGATGTGGGACAATGCATCGTGGACTTCTCACCAACAGTAATTCCTCAGGCTCATCATGAAGTGTTATATTATTTGCTACAGCTTGTATTGGGCTCTCCACTTCCTACGCACCGCATCTAAATATTTGACTGTTTTTATTTCACTTGGATTTGCTGGGCGAAGTCCGTCTCCTTTGCGATTGATATCTTAGAAGCGATCCCGCTCGAGCGCTTCCCGTGGCCCACAGTCGCCGAAAAACAAACAACAACATCGTTTTCAAGCTCATATTGCCCCTAGATCTCGGGCATCCCTTAAATTTATGTAGGGGGGGATTTTTTCTTTTTCGTTATCCTCTACCGAATCTTTTAGTTGCGACTCAAAGCAGGCTTCAAAATCCACAAAATGGCAGCTTGAGTGAGTCTGGGAAGGATCAGAAATGATAGCAGGAAAACTTGCTATCATTCAATTCAGATCTCGTATCGCCAGATTTAGGGCGAGGAACAGGGCAAAATATCATGTCCTGACGGAGCAGTATCAGAGCCAGACTCGGCTCGGCTCCCTTGTGGTCTACCGCAGGACGACTCGATTCGGAACTTGTACTTGTTCTGCCTCTGTCCGCGGGCGCGATAATACTATAAAGAGCAAGAGAAAGCTCGTTCGCGGACATTTCTCTCAGCATACCATACTATACTACTGGTCGTCCGTCTACTTGGTGATATTTGATATTTAGTGTGTCGAGGTGTATCCTGCCAGCCAGCTGCTGCGCTTATCGCCACCGGTTCTGTTGCCGCTACCGATAGCCTCCCTGGTATGTTGAAAACCTTCATCTCAATTTTTTTCCTGGGCCGAAGCTATCGACGGAGAAAAATTTCAACATGTGTATTTTCAAAACGTTTCCTGTTTTCTGCCTGGGGGGCCTGGAGGGGCTTTACTTGGACACTCGTGCTGATGCAGATCTTTCGATTCTTATACTCGATTGGGGAGATAGTCCACCACTACGTACTCCCGATTAGGTGAGAGTAGCAGAGATGTGGACCTGGCCATTGGACCCAGGGTTTCAAAAGCCTGACACCTATAAAGGTTGGGCTATAACTTTAGGGTGGGGAAGGACGGTGTCGGAGCACAGGCAATCCGGTGGGGAGAAGTACGAACTATACCAAGCAGTGTTTACCACGTTTATTCGTGAAGTCTGAAGAGGCTCAGCTATATGCTGATGTCAAGGCCGGCATACCTATAGTAGCCACGTGACCTGGTGCCTACACTCCCACAGACGGTGAGAGATTGCTATCAGCTTAGACCTGTTAAGAGGCTTCTTGCCTAGGCGCTGAAATTTCTTGGAAATTTCAACTTTCGTTTGGGGTTTGAGGCCCGTATCCAGGTTCAGCTGTAGATCCACTACGAGGACATGGCGAATAAGTGGTTCTGCGGCATCCATACGCTGGGTGGTTGCAAGCCATGGCAAGAGTTGTCAACGAAGAGGCTTGCCGAGAGATGTATGTATGCACACAGAACTATCAGAGAATGATTTATATACAAGATCTCTGCCGTCTCACCCCACCCTAGATCCATTTCCTTACAAGCACTGATGGTACCAAGTACTCACCGTTTTACAGGTGTACGGGCTGACACAGGCGGTGGCACCAGTCCATCCCGAGCCTCCACACTGCTCATAGCGTGCAACAGTACCCGCATCTGTTTTACCCGTATCTGTTTTACCCGTATCTGTTTTCGGCGAAGCCGGCGTAGACGTTTTGCTCTCAGCTGATGAAAGCGTCGGCGAAGTTTCTCCACCGGTGCCCATCGCTGCAATCTTCTCTTGGATGAACGTAAAGGCTGCCTGTCCGTATTCGGTCCCGTATCCTTGATGGGTGGCTTGATCGCTGCCCTTGCAGCAGTAAGGATCAGCTTCGTCGCAGTAGGACTGGATCTTGGAGGCCGAGGGACATTCGAAGCCAGCTGGTCGGGGTGCAAACTGCAGGCTGTTAGTAGTTGGCCGTGGGAGAGGACTGGGAAAGGGAGACGAACGCCTGAGGCCTGGCAGGTGCCAACGTTGTAGGGAAGACCGACGATATGTCGGGGATTGCCCATGAAAATTGCTGCGGCTAGCTTGCTCAGGGCCGATGCTTCGATGGGAACAGCTGTGTCGCTGAGGCCGATGTTCGTGTCCCCTCCACCACATATCGAGTTGTCAAAAATTTGTGCGCCCTGTCTTTCTTCAGATCTTGAAGTGGGTGTTGAGCATGGGACATTGGCTTACCTGGGAGTACCCAACGACCACTAGGATTGAATTTGGGCACTTGGTATGGTATGCATTGACGGCTGCAGCTGCAGCTGCAGTTCCTTGCAACGCAGATTCTCCGTAGCTCGCACCTCCACAAGAAGCTTGACCTCCGCAGGCTGGGTAATCTATAGCTTCGGAGGTGGAACCAGGGTAGGCATTCAATACCAGATTGACGACCACTGAGAAGAGTTAGAACCATTTGAAAATGTCATGAGAAGTGCGGACTGCGAACCTCGCGCGGTTCCTAAGCCAGGTGAGACTGTTGTCTCTCGGGCGCCGAAAACATGGATTTCAGGACAGCTCTGGCGTTCCTCGATATCGACTGGAGACGCAAGAGCACGTCCCAGGAAGAGGGTAGCAGCAGCAGCAGAAGTGAGTTGCATACTGACAAAATTGAAGACTGCCTGAGTAACGAGAGAAGAGAATAGAATGCAAAACCTGTGATAAGAAATGAGCGCTTGAATACTCTATATATGAAAGAAAGCGGAATGAACGGACTCCGCAAACACCATGTGGAAGCAAGTCAAGCTTTGAGTCAGGGGTTATGGTCAAGAATATTTGCTCCAATATTATCTCCCGCCGCGTTTGACCGCAGGGACGAACCTCTCCGGGTCCCAGGTCCCAGGTCCCCATTCGTTGTATTACCACAACTCCCATAAACACAACCCTGAATCTTATTTACCTCACAGATAGGTCGAGGGGCATTTCGGCGGCCCTGTGAACCTCACTTCAAGAGACGGTTATTGTTCCGTAGCGACCAGACAGACTATCCCGTTGAAAAGACCGTCCCAGGGCCGGCCCATGTAAGGCGTCGCTTAAACCCCATAAACGCAATTCGTTTCAAACCATTGAATAACCGTCTTAAATAAAGTACCGTTTCAGCTTTGCGATTTTTGATGGATAATCAACGGACTTTGCCAACTTCTTTTCGCCGTCTTTAGCTTTAAAATAGATCTTTCTCGAATCATCAGCTGAATATCCAAAAGCCCTTCTATGGGCCTTCTGATAGTTTTTCTCCGCGTTCCAAACGAGGCCAGCTAGCACTATTAGCGAGAGCCCGCAGGTAAGTAAGTACTACGTAAAAGTCAGCGCACTGATTATTACTCCGAAACCTGCCATTAATTGATTTACCGTATTCCCCGCTGTTCCCATATACTACGTAATATTAGCCAAGTGCGCAATATCCATGTGCCTTCCCGATTCGCCATCATCAAGTTCTGTCCCGGCTGGAAGGCAGTGATCTTCCATTACAATGCTTACACCCGCTCGACAGCTCAACCCGAGTTCGCGAGATCGGGGCACATGCCTCCGCGGGACGTCGTATTAAGGTTACTTCTCGTCAAGCGGAAGATGTAATTAATATTCCGAATCGGACGCGCGGCGCCGGGTATTCGAGTGCTGTTGGAAGCAGAGTGGTGCCCTTATGATTTTATGGCGGAGAGGGCTGGCTGCTGGGCATTTAAGGTTACATTCCGGTAAGATGCCCTCGCTGGCAGACTGTCTTATCTGATCATCATACATTAAGGTTTGATATAGACAAAAAACTGCCAGTTTGCGGCACCGCTGTGACCCTTCATTTGCGCTTGAGGTTACTACGTACATTGGAGGCACGGGCATGCAATGCCCGTATATTTGAGCAGGGATGTCGTTTCATGGGCCTGAAGATCTCGCTTACGCATCTCACCTCCTACTACCATATGGAACTGTAAACAATAAGAGGTAGACCGGCAACGTACTGATGCAGAACCGCCGGCGGGAACAGATTGTGGTAGATTTGTTGATTTGTCGATATGTCGATTAGGCTAATATGAACGTTTTCGAGGGCGGGCGGGATCGTCCGAGCTGCGTAATCATGGGAGCAAGTGAATATGAAGAGGGGATTTGCTCCTCAACACACCGAACTGCAGTTTAGAAATTGACCCCAGAACTTATCATGGTACCATTCACATCTCTGCTCGTTGCTTCCTCCGTGGTTGTCAGTGTCTTCGCACACCCAGCTAACATGAAGGAACTCATGGTCCGAAGTGGAACTCCCAGCGCCACTGGAACAAACAACGGGTTCTACTACTCTTGGTGGACCGACAACGGAGCCTCAGCTACCTACACCAATGGCCCAGGTGGGCAGTATAGCATCACCTGGGGTACAGGAGGCAATCTCGTCGGTGGAAAAGGCTGGAATCCGGGATCACCTAGGTATGTAAACAAAGCATCAAGCTACAATGTCAATACCACTCACCCAGTACGTGTTACACGCAGAGCCATTGCCTACACCGGCACGTACTCTCCAAATGGCAACAGCTACCTGTCCGTGTACGGATGGACCCGATCTCCCCTGATCGAGTACTACATCGTCGAGAACTTCGGAACGTACAACCCCTCCACCGGAGCCACCAAGAAAGGCAGCGTCACGAGCGATGGCTCAACGTACGACATCTACGAATCGATCCGCACCAACCAGCCTTCGATCGATGGGAAAGCGACGTTCAAGCAGTACTGGTCCATCCGCGCCTCGCACCGCTCCAACGGCACCGTCAACACGAAAGCGCACTTCGATGCCTGGGCTGCTCTGGGCATGAAGCTTGGCACTCACAACTACCAGATTGTCGCCACGGAAGGCTACTTCAGCAGCGGGTCTTCCTCGATCACCGTGTCGGAGGGCACGGTCTCCGGTGGGGATACTACGCCGGCGGTTAAGACGACGTCTTCGGCGGCACCTGCTCCTAATAGTGGGACTGGGACTGGAACTGTGAGTTTCGTGCGTGACTTTGGGCTAGGTTGAGCTGACTTGGATTTTAGTGTGGGGCTATGTGGGCGCAATGTGGTGGGAGCGGGTGGGCGGGTGCTACTTGCTGTAGCTCGGGGACTTGCAAGACGCTGAGTACTTGGTACTCTCAGTGCTTGTAATCGTCAAGCCGGCGAAGGTGGAGTGAGTGGTGGACGGATGTTTCTTGTATATATCTTGAACGTTTTCAGTATACCGTCTGCATATAATAGCTATAGTAGTCAAAGCCTTATTCTTCGATGAGCTGGATCTCACAAAATTCGAACTCACAAATACCACCATGGGGCTTTGCATTTCTTCTGATATGAAGTGAAATCGACCTGGTATTTTTCCTCCTTGTCCAATCATCTCCAAAAGCTTCCATGCTGCTACAATCAAATGCGCACGTTCAAAAGACCGAACTTTGAAAGCTCAAATTCCCTTTTGTTGTTGCAGTAAATGTACACTTCCTTACGGCGGCAAGGCCACACCCGTCTGTCCCTGTTGACGACGACTTCTGGTCTGCAGGCCTGGACTGAGAACTTGGTGTTGAGCGCAAAATTGATGCCATACAGAGGCCATACATATTAAATCACTGCCATTTAATCTCTGCACTATTCCTGTCGTACATAAGAAGCGGAGTAAGCAGTATAAGCCGTAGCTCAGCTTCAGAACCCGAGAGGGAGACGGCTTCTCGCTAGTCGGCTACCGTCTTGAAAAAAAATCTACCTGCTTTATATGAGTAAATATTCGTTCGGCTTTTGTCAATCGGCGGACGCACGAGATGGCTCAGTGGCTTAACAGCTTCATGGCTATCCGACCTCCACCGATTGACACCACCCTCCGAATACCCGGAAAAACCTATTCAATTAGGTTTGTAGATGGAAACCTCGTACCACCCCGTTGTTACAAGCTTTCCAATCGATTTTTGCACTTTTTTTTTTTTTTTCGATTTTTGACTTAGGCCTTAGGCAAAGAACACAATCGAGAGGGGAGATGATATCTACCGGCAGAACAATCTTTGAGTAGATTCGCTACGCACGAACTGTTGACTTGCCCGGAGGCCTACGATAACTTCGAGTATTAACACAAGAAGGAGAAGTAAAGAGTCGGTGTAAGCCGTTCCGCAGAGGTACATGCATGGTGAAGGCTTGCAGAAGTACTTTGCCTCGTAAATGGTGATTAGTAGGCTGACATGCCGGATGCGCTCTGCTCAGCTACGGCTACGCCGAAGCGAGGGGCCGGCCAGGCTAAGTTTGTCAGATCAAGAAAGGGAAGAAGGTCTCAATCAAGGAGAAGCTGTCTTTCAAAACCATCATTCAAACCTGTCAGAGATGGAATTAAATTGATAGCGAGGGATTATTTAGACTTAATGAAATTGCGGAAGGGATCAAAGTTGGGTTTTGGAAGTGAGGTTGAAGTCTTGGCCGTGATCTCGCTTCGACACCTCTCCATCATACTAAACTTCAAGTGAAGGCCGACTGCTCCATCTCGTTCCTCGCACCTGTAAATGCATGGCACAGACCCCAAATTCAAACACTGGTCTCCGAGGCATGCGACTTGAGGGACATCGCCGAATATGGCTTGAGACTTTATGGCTTGCGGCGCATCCATCAATCCACCCGTCACCAAGGCGGTCATTTCGAACGCCAATGACAACGCACAAGAGTTTCTAGATATTCTCCTTCACAATAATGAATAGCGAAGCATTTTCTGCATTCGTATCATCGTTCGCTTTCAAAATGTCTTCTCCTTCAAGAGCCTTCTCCCAAGGGGAGCTCTTCATATGCTGAACCCCGAATGGTAGAGAGAAACACCTCCACCACCAAAACGGAAAGGGCCGCACGTTCAGCCTCACAGAAAAGCACCGGACGAGTCTTGGAGGCAAGGCCAGCAGTCAGCCTCAACATCAAAAGCGGTGGTCAGCTGGCAGCGAATGAGCCGTAAGCTTACCAGCCCACATAAGCAGCGGGCGTTCGCGTATACGGCTCGACATCGTCATTGACGGATGTTACCGAGGTGGGTTTCGCCCACGGCGGGCTGTTGGTTGTGGGAGTGTGCTTGAAGTTACACGTACTGTCAAAGTTAGGAGTCGAAAGTACGCTTTCGTTTGCAAGTGCTCTACGTTCTTGTGAGCCATGGCTAGGCTGTGTCTACACTTGACGACTTTACCGCTTCGGTCTGATGAGGAAAGCCCCCGGTCTGAGCTTACCTTAGCTATTGTCTCTGGCAGGATATGAGGTTCAGGAGCTGCTACTCTCACTGCTATATAGTCTTCCAACGTCCCAGGACACAGAGAGTTATTCAAACAAGCCATATAGCATAAATTTAAATCGCGTGGAAGTAAATCCTCTTTGCACTTCCGCATATAATCGCTAAATAACCTTCAACTTCTTCCTCAATCACCCTACATGTCTCCCCCACGCCTCCCATCCGACAAGCTAGATGTCGAAGAAGTCTTTAGCGACTCCAAGTCCTCCGTAGGAAGCTACTCGAACAGAAACTCCGCAGTCCCCGATCCCTCCCCAAGCGTCACCAGACTCTCGGACTCGGATCACTCCTTGGTCTGTCAGTCTATCGGCGCGCTCTCGGTAGATGAAAGTGGACGAGTCCAACACCCAACATCCTTCCTCTACCCACCAAAAGGCCTCCCGAACGGCCTCTACAAGGACGTGGTCCGCTCCCGCACAATCTCGCAATACCAGTACTACCTCTCATCATTCATGTTCACGTCCGCTCTCATCCTGCAACTTCTCCTCGGAGCGGCGCTTACGGGTATTGGATCGACGTCGGCCGGGACAAGCACAACGATCACTGTGCTTGCGGCCGTCAATACCGTCCTTGCGGGTGTGCTGGCTTTGATGCACAACTCTGGCTTGCCGGATCGTTACAAGAATGACTGGACGGAGTTCGACGAGGTGGAGATGTACCTCAATGAGTTGGTCGAGGCAGGCATCGTGAGTAGTGGGTGGAGTCGGGATCAGGTTATCGAGCATTGCTTTGCGCTGTACAGGCGGGCTAAGGGCACAGTGGCCAAGAACAAGCCGTCAGCGTATGCGTCGACTTCGAGTCCAGCTGCGAAGAGCTCGACGGCCCTGACGAGGCAGCCTTAGGCGGATAGTCTGGGGATTCGGTTCTTGAGGCTGGAAGTTTTGATTTCTTTCGTAATGTTTGATTTCCGGCCTAGATCTCACTTCTTTATATATGCCCAGTGTGTTTGTTCACATCTGATCGCTTCTCATGCTTCTCATTCTTCACTTCACTTCCACACTCACTTGTCAGGGGATGCCAAGCACCACCGCACCCATCACAAAGCCGTTCACAAAGCCGTTCTCACCTCCAAGCAAGAAGCCCATGATCCTCATGATCTCCTCCGTCACGCCTACCTGCAAAGGCAGACGCCACGTTCAAGATGGACCCGTGATCAGACATCCCTCTCAGCTAAGCATGCCGATAAAAAATCACTCGACCAGCCTCGACCAGCCTTATAATGACGTTGCTGTCGTCCAACCATTCCAGCACAGTTGACTGCTCACAGTTGACTGCTCATAGTTGACTGCTTTGGCTGCTTTGCCCTAGTCTTTGAGGATACCGTTGACTCGAGCGTCAGTATTTTCCCGTTTCGTCCCGTCGAGCGCAGGTTGAGGGCTTCTACCGGTCCCTCTGCTTTGACGGGCCGGGCTCGAGAGTGGCGTCTAGAGGTCAGGAGCTCTGCGGTTGCGAGGCAGCTGATGCTGCCGGCGCCGTCCGTGATAGCTAAAGCTATCATCTTACCGTGCATGAGCAGAGACCTGGCGATCATTTGTGGAGAGGATATACAGTCCGTAGTTCGTGTGTGTACTTGATGATGGAAAGAGACGATTCGATGGGACGAAAAGCAAGCGGTCTATATCGATTCAATCTCCGTTCAAGCAAGAAATCCCGATAACCTCAATGTATGGCGTTCGTCGTGACCTGCATCTAAGACAAGCTTCTGGGATCCGATATGCTCCTATAATCACGTGCAGCCCCATCTCGTCTACTCCGTACTGTAGCTCGCCCCCCTTACTTTTCCCCCACATCTCTTCTTCATTGCTGCCCAGGTGAGCACCAACACCAACACCAGCGCACTGTCTCATGACCTATTGCGATGGCCACATTAGTCAAGGCGAAAGCTTCGACGGCCAACGGTAGATCTAGACATTTGTTTCATCGTCTCTTTCTCTTCTCTTCCTATCAAGCTTCTCCACCCTGCAAAGAATCTCTTGATTCTTACCCCTTTTTTCAAATTCATATAGGTTAGGCGAACGTTTAGATACGTACGTGACGGTAAGATGCGCTGGACTATATACGTGTTAGCCACGGGAGCCGCCGTGCAGGCTTCGACCTTGACTCCACCAGTTCTCCCTTTGACAGTGCGAAATCCGTACCTAAGTACCTGGCTAGGAAACGCAAGAGGGAATCCCTGGGACCAGTGGCCTATTTTCTGGACCGGACAAGAGGTGCGCTGAAGTCCAAGTTTGGAGATATATTTGCAGATATATAGCTAATGATCCTGGGACAGGTGGGACTATCAGTTCTGGCTGCAGTCTCCAAGTCCGAGACGGTGTATCCACTACTGGGAAGAGCCCAGGACTCGTTGCCGAAGTCCGGGGAAAGCTTCAATGTTTCCTATCCGACCTATCTAGGAGCTACCTTCGATGCATCGACTACGAACCTCACATACCACATCCCTGCTCCAACCTCTTCCAACGAGCCTGTTGAAGTCATTCTCTCTTTCCTTTCCCCGGTGACTCCTACTTCCACGCTGCGACAATCCATTCCTGCTTCATACTTGCAAGTACATGTCACTGGAAACTTCGAAATCGAGTTTTATATAGATCTAAATGGGCTGTGGGTCAGTGCCAACCGGGGTAATGAGATCGTCTGGGAGCTCAGCCAGAGCCCAGGCTCTGCTGTAACAGGACAAGGACCCCTCAAAACCTGGAAAGTCAAGAGGAAGGTCGAGCAACTGTTGACTGAGGATGCCGATCGTGCAGAATGGGGTACATTACACTTCACTGGCCCTGCCGATGTCAGACATGAAGCTGGAACTTCTGCCTTGGTCAGACAGAAGTTCTCGCGAACCGGAACACTTCAGAACGTTGTGGATGGAGACTTCAGGGCGATCATGGACGAGGAACCAGTCTTTGCTTTTGCAAAATCGTTCCAGCTCAATGGCAACTCTGCTGCAGGCGGCAAGGCTTACGATAGTGTCCTCTTCACCATTGCCCATGTCCAGGATCCCGTCATCCAATTCGCATCTGCCGGAGGAATGGCTATGATGCGACCCTTGTGGTCAAGCTATTACCCTACGGCAGATGAGCTCTTAAAGTTCCACTACTACGATTTTGACACCTCGTTCGGACTTGCCAGCAACTACTCTGACCAACTTGAATTTGATGCTTTGAAGTCCGGATCAGAGGACTACAAAGATATTCTCGCATTAAGTGCTAGACAGGTTCTGGGAGCATGCAGCTTTGCAGGCACTCCCGAAGATCCTCTCATCTTCTTCAAGGAGATTTCGTCTGATGGGAACATGAATACTGTCGATGTTATCTACCCAGCTTTCCCGTGGTTTTTGTATACTAACCCGAAATGGCTGGCATATCTCATGAACCCCCTCATTGAGCACATGCTTAGTGGTCAATATCCGTAAGTAGCTGCGTAGCTGCGTTAGAAGACAGCGATACTCACTAAAGGTATCTAGGAATGATTACACCATGCATGATCTCGGTGCTCATTTCCCAAATGCAACTGGTCACCCAGATGGAAGGGATGAATACATGCCTGTCGAAGAGTGTGGCAATATGCTCATCATGGGGCTTGCTTGTAAGCACAACCGGGCAGTAGCCACTCTCCCCCTTTCCAGCGTCCCGCGAGCGACCGACTCCCGAGAAGACGAACCATTGCTAACCTTCCGGTCATCCAGTGGTAAACTCGCTGAAATATGATACTAAGCCTGCTAGCATTTGGTCGGCTGTCGGAGACGACAAGTACATCGAGTCTTCAGAAGGGTCGGCATTCTCTCTTCGCATCGATGCCGATGGTATGGACGACACGTTTGGTGGGCCGGTCTCTGCCAAGGGCCAGAAGCAAGCCCGGAAATGGATCCAGAACTCCTACAAACTGTGGAAACAATGGACTGGATACCTGGTTCGCGAGACCTTGGTTCCAGCAAACCAACTATCCACAGATGATTTTGCTGGCTGGCTGGCAAATCAAACAAATCTTGCTTTGAAGGGCATCATCGGTATCAGAGCCATGTCTGAGATTGCAGAGCTGGTTGGCGAGGCCGAAGATGCGAAATTTTACCGAAACGTATCTGAGACTTACATTAAGATATGGGAGGAAGATTATGCTATTTCCAGTGATGGTACACATGCAAAGTTGGCCTACACTTGGTTTGGCAGCTGGACAACGCTTTACAACTTATTTGCGGACTCGCTGTTGTGCTTCCACCTTCCTTCCAGCTCGAGTCTAGAATTTACCGGAGCTCAAAAATATCTGGGAGAGCCATCAACCTCGAAGACTGGATTCGTCTCGGACAGAATCTACAAGATCATGAGCGACTGGTACCACAATGTTCGCCAGCGATATGGTCTGCCTCTAGACAGCAGACATCTGTATGCGAAGAGCGACTGGGAGTTCTTCGCGGTTGCGGTTGCTAGCAAACAGGTCAGGGAAGAAGTGGTGCAATCAATCGCCTTGTGGGTGAATGAAACATCGACCGGTATGTATCCTGCAGCTCATCCCCATGCAGCAAACACTGACCCATGAAACAGATCTGCCCTTGACGGATTTGTATGATACCGAAGGAGACGGAGGGTTCCCTGGGATTTCCTTCAAGGCCCGGCCTGTTGTTGGAGGCCACTTCGCCTTCTTGGCTCTGGAGAGAGCATGTGGTGGAAAGGCTGTTGCAGCGTTGGGCTTCTTGGATGACGAGCCCCCGAGGGAGTTTAACCTTTGTAATACGGGTGGAAGATTCGATGGAGAATTGTAAGGTGAAGTGACTGATGGAGTTTGTACCCGTAAATCCGGATCCTAGAGCAAAGCAAAGCAAACAAGTCCTTGCAGGGATAAAACTCGTGCCTGCAGAGCCGTAGCGCGCAGAAACGTGACTCTCTGAGAGCCTCAAGAAGCCGGAAGCCTATCCCAGAAGAAAGTTTACTGCAGAATACTCACGAATGCTTTTATTCATATATGATCGATCAGAGGCATTCAGCTTTGGCCGCATTCAATAGCCCAAATGGAGCTACTACGCCCTACCCCTTTCGCAGACGAGTTGCCATGTCTCAGGCGGCCTCAGGCTGCCGTTGCAGATGCAGCTGAGGAATGCCGCGCTAGCACATATTAGCCTGACGCTAACGCTAACCCAATTCCCCGACCGCGACAAGTTTTATCGTCTGTCCTTCAAAGAGTCTACAGACCATCATCATCCTCATCACACAACAATTGTCTTCATCTGCGATATTTCATCCAGAACTTCCATCTCGAACCCCGAGATATTTTTCTTCGCCGCTTGCCACTATCAAGCCGGCATCTTCTATCCGTTGCGCCCATATTCCGAAGCTCACGACAGCTTTTTGACACTTCTGACATCACCTTCCTTCAATCTTCGTCCGCATCTCGTTGATCATGGCTTCCATGGACTATGAGAACGAGAACGGCAGCGCCCGCTACGAAGGTATGTGGCTTTCCCCCTTCGTCTTTGCACACTCTGCGGATTCCAAGCAACCATGCTGACTCGAATTTTGACGCGTAGATGAGGCTCCTCGTTACGAGCGTGACCGCAGCGCCTCTCCTCGTCCTAACCGCCGTGAGAGCCCTCGTGGAGGTCCTCGTCGTTCCGCATCTCCTAACGGGAACGGTCATGCCGATAGCCGGTCAGTACACCCTCGTCGTCTGCCCTTGTCTTGACTGACAAAGAATAGTGGCCCCCCCAAGAACGACCGTGGCGCTCCTCAGGATGATGGTGCCATCAACCCAGGCTCCAACCTTTTTGTCACCGGTATCCACCCTCGTCTCTCCGAGCAAGAGGTGACTCGTCTCTTCGAAAAGTACGGTGACGTCGAGAAGTGCCAGATTATGCTTGACCCCCATACCAAGGAATCCCGTGGTTTCGGCTTTGTCAAGATGGTTACTGCTGACCAGGCTGATGCCGCTAAGGAGGGTCTTCAAGGTGAGGTTATTGAAGGCCGCACCTTGAGCATTGAGAAGGCTCGCCGTTCGCGTCCTCGTACCCCTACCCCGGGCAAGTACTTTGGTCCACCAAAGCGAGGCAAGTAATTCCTGCTCCCCTTGTTCAACACGATTGACTAAGTGACCAGAAGAGGATGGGCGTGGACCCCCACCAGGACGCTACGGTGAGCGCTATGATGATCGTCGCCGCGGTGGCGGAGGATATGGAGGACGTGATTACGACCGCGGATACGGCGGAGGAGGACGCCGTGATGACCGTGACCGTGGCTATGGTAGAGATCGCGATGATTATGGCCCTCGTGGAGGATTCGACCGCTACTCTCGCGATGATCGATACGGCCGTGGAGGAGATGATCGACGTGGAGGTGGCGGAGGTGGTTACGGGGGAGGACGTGATTACGACCGAGGTGGTGATCGTGGCTCTGCCCGTGAAGCACCTCCACCAGCCGCTGCCTATGGTGATCCAGCACCTCGTGGGGAGGCTCGGGAACCATACGGAGGTAGAGGCTACGATGATGAGAGATTCTCCCGTCGTGAATTTTGATTGCTGACTAACATAGGTGGTGAGCGCCCTGCTCGTTAAATTCGCACGATCTCGACGAGCACGACAAGAGCTTTGGATCTGCGGCTTTCATTGATGCAGGTGCACCGCCACTTGTGCACTACCGTCATTCTCTTCTCTCTTCGTTATGATCCAAAGCTTTCAGCGGCGGAATATGCAATAAAAGCGGGTGCCTAATACAAATTTCGGCGGATCGAGGCGCGAACTTCAGGTCATTGGATTGACTTCTACGGATGCTATGGATTTTCTTTTTGCTTTCTCTCCGGTTCTCTTCGGCACGATAATTCGGTCAGTCGGGCAGGTTCAGCTTTTCCCTGGAACAGATATCTGGTTTCTTCACATTACGATACGGCCCTGAGAGAGAGTCAGCACTTCGCTGTTCCCATGTACCACTATTGCAGCTTTCACGCTGGGCTTTCATCACTTTTCGGGCATTCCCGCCATGCCTTTCGAAGCTGCTGTTCCGACTTCGTCGTTAGTCGCCAGATCAGAAATTCGAAAAGCACACAAAAACAACCCTCAACCGCAATTCCGTGATCAACTTCCTACCCGAACATTAAATCAGTAGGACGCTTTCCAACGTGCTTGCTCGCTCATATCAATCAATATCCGAATCTCTGTCTTCAGAAATGATACCATTCCAATCACCTTCCCGCCTTCTCATGCGCCATAACCATAATAGGCAACATGTCGTAAAAACAATCTAGAGTACATGTCTACATCTCGCATCGCCAAGTACATCGCGACATCATGAACGAACCTCCTGTCAGATCCATGCTTATCAGTGCGTGGAAATCTGGCATGGAGCAAGGTAACGCTCCAACTCTGCCAAAAATAGTGGCTGATTGATACCTCTTCTCGCAGGTGGACGAATGCAGCGCTCCCCGCACATACTCTGTATGTGCTTACAATCTTGTGCCTATGTGCTACCTCTCTAATCCATTCAGGCCGCTTGCGGACCGGAAAAACAATATATTGATCTCAGCCCCCTTGCTTTTGTGGCGGATGTGGCACCGTCGGAGGTAGGGATTCTCTTCCTCGGCTCCCGGACCAGTAGGTGGCACGTACCCGGCATGAATTGAGTGAGACATGGCTGCACGGAATTGTCCAGAGTCTGTTCACGGTAAGTAAAGTCACTTTGATTGTTTTCGCCTGTTGCAATTTCCTCTCACAACGGGTTATCCTTTAACAGCTCCCGGTTGCATAGAGAGAACCCATCAATTACAGTACTGTATTGGTTTTAACCCGTTTACCGCTATGCGTCTCGGGGGCTGTTGGGCCGATTTGCAACGGAGTTGATTTTTCTCTCTCCATCATACGGAGAACATGCCTGCCTGCTTTTGTTGTATCACTTTTCAGCCTCTCCGCCTTGTGTAAAGTGTGTGTATGGAACGCAATCCTATCTCTCCTGTTTCTTCCTACTAAGGACTGGTCGCGGTCCGCTGTACAAACTTGAAGAAAATAGTCAAGACCATTTCTTGGCGAGAGAAAGAAGACATGTGTACCTCTTCTCTTCTCTTTTCCTCTCCTCTCCTGTTCTAGTGCCGGCGTTCTATTTGAAAAAGGTTCGTATTGCATAGTTTGCTCATTGCCGATCAACCTCTCCGATTGCGAAGACGTAGTGCCGTGTGCTGGATGATGGATTTTTGTTAGAAAGTTTGAATAAATGCTGGGTAGTATTCCGTAGATACATACATGCAAATCCATCTTCATCAAATTCTCAGTGCCCTGTACCTCAATATGCCATGCCATCGACGTTGCAGCAGGATCTGTGTTTTATTAATAGACACCGAAGTAAATAATACACGGTAAGTGAACCAACTTGTATGTATCGTAGTAAATCAATCAATCACTATCTTTCCGACTCTTATGTCGTCTCAAAACCATACCGCTTTTCATATTATCGCAGTCTCGTAGCTGTCCAGCGACTCATTAAGTTATTTACTCTCTGTATATATCATTCTCTAGGAATCGCAAATTTTGGAAATGAGAAAAATGACTTTAACTCAGCGCGGGCGTGGTATACGTATATACCGACCAAGCTTTTTTCCTTATGGTATAGCAAAGCACATCACAGCACAGCTCTTCTGTTTCTATCTCGCTGAAGCTGCTCCATTCCTCTTATACTAACGTCTCTCTTCCTCCCGCCTCTTCCACTTCCAAGCCGGACCGAGACCAGATTAGCAAGTGTGCATTAAATGAACCAAGGTTCTTCACCGTTTCCCACCCTCCTCCTCCTCCTCCTCCTCTGCGGCCCAGCTGGTGGGTGATCTTGATAACTGGCGGAGAGACGCGCTCTGAAATTTGCCCTCCTCCGTATACACACTCAAAAAAAAAGGAGAGAAAAAGAGAGAGAGAAAGCATGCCTTAGCCCCTGCAAGGGCGAAAAATAACATGACATAATACCGGTATTGGCTTCCACTTATCCTTGATTTCAAACCCTGCAATTTCAGCGAGCGAGCTTTCGTCTTGGGGGTTTCTGGATGGGTTTTGCTGATTTTTTGATTTATTTTCCTTCTCAGTTTGCGTTCATCTTTTTTTTTCTCTTTTTTTTTTTTCAAATTATTAAAAGATGAAAAAGAAGGAGAAGAAAAAGAAAGGGGGGTGGATGATGGTTGATGCTGGATGATGGATGATGGTGTATTGGTGGATACTGGATACTCCATGGATACCTGAGAGAATTGAGCTGGGCTAGCTCTGGTTACAAGCCAATACGCCCTCCCTCTGCTGACCTCTGACTCTGACTCTGACTCTGATTTTGTCCTTTGGGTGTTGGAAAGTTGGATAAATGGACTTTGGGTGAATGGACTTTGGATAATTGGACTTACTTACACCGTCGGACTCCGCAGCCTGAAGGGGAATGGATTAATGAACAAATTGCAATTTTGTGAATAGCTCGATACATTTATATATATCTCAATCTGTATCGCTATATAGCTAGGCGTGCTACTACTACTACTGCAGTACTAAAGAAACCGTTTTGCATATGGTTTAGAATCTATGGTCCGTGGATGTCTGTTGGGGTTCGAGAATGGCGCGCCAGAGGGTTGGTTGTGACTGGGTATTTAGACAGTAAGTATATGGTGAGTTGATGGGGACTTATATACGGATCGGGCCTAAGTGGTAGGAATGTAAGTTCATATATACTGGATTCTTATCAACTTTGCGTTGTTGGGATTTGTTATTGAGTTGCTATGTCTGTGAATGGGATGTGGGGTTTTTTGATGGAGCGTATTTTGGGATTTTGAGGATATTTATGGTGAAGCTAAAACTTGAATGAGAGTTGAAAGGAGAAGATGAAAGAGGCTGGGAAGTCTGGAGTGAGAGCTGTCAGGCGACTCAATTTAAGATTCATTCGGAATTCGTGTCTGTACTGCGCTGCGCTTCCGCAAATAACACAACTGTCTGTCGGGTATCTCGATTTCTCCACGCTCAAACTCCTTCCAGTTGTCAAGTTCATCAGTCGTTCTCCCATCCATATCTTTGACACCCGATCAAGATGCCAAAGATTCGACCAACAAACTTCCAAATCTCCAGTAATAGAAGGCAGACAAACATACATAATCCACAAGCAGAAAGTCTGCAGAAGCAACGCAAATGAGCTTGATAAAGTCACCAGGCATTCAAATCCAGTTCCCCTCCATCATAGGATTAGCGTCCCTACTTCCAGAATCACTGAGACTTTGATCAGTAGCAGGGAGCTTCTCGTCAGAGGAATTGACGTTCTCATACCAATCACCATCCTTCTTCGGAATGCTCCCACTACCGCCTCTGCGAGCCCTAAAATTCTCGTTCGCTGTTACCTTTTCCACAAACGTCCCCATGTTCCTAGACTTACGATTTGCAAGACCTGGGCTCCACATGTTCTGTAGACTACCAAATCGTGGAATCTTTCTGACTGGCGACGGTGTGTGAGCCATCCATTCCGACTCGGACAAGGTAATTGTGGTAGTATTCTTTTCGAGCGGAGACTGGTCTGCATCTTCATAGAGGTTGCCGAAGTTCTCGGTTGGAGAGCGAGAGGGCGTCGGACAAGGGGAGTCCTGTGGAGAGTTGGGACTTTGTGGCTGCTGCTCTGAAAGACGCTTTGCAGGTGAGCGACGGGTCTTGCGAATGGTAATGTTTGCCATTGAGAAGAGTGTGTCTGATGGTGGCGAGGAAATGCCGCAGCGCCTGGAAGTGGATACGCTGAGTGCGGTTCGTGGAGTGTTTTCAGACAGGTCGCCGGGAACGGAGGGGAATTCTGAGATTGAGGGTACAGGAGATTCAAAATGAGGGTTTGGCGAGGAATAAACATCCACTATCTCGGCGATACCAAGGAGTACCTAGAGTATAGATTAGCACTATTCTGCCGCAATGGTCACCAAGCTACTATGATTTGACGATCGAAAAATCCAGAAGGTGCTAGTAGACTGAGTAAGACAGGAAGACAGACATACCTCTGGTGATTGCGATTCTCTGTCAAGTTCCTGTAAAAGAGACGGGGCGATAGACAGGGCATTGGAGACCCCAGAAGAGCTTCTCGAATGGCCACCAGAAGCAATGGAGTACTTTCTCGGATGGCGTCTCAAACTTAGTGAGCTATCACGAGGCGGAACCTCCGGCAAAGGACGATCCATCCAAAGTGGGCTTTCTTTTGGCGACGTCGACTTGTCGATGATAGCAGTCGAGAACTTCGAGAATGGTGACTCGGGGCTTCCAGTATTAGAGCGAGAGAATAAGGATGTTTCAGGAGGCACTTTGAATGAGGGTCGCTTGTTCAGACCGTTTGAAGGACGTTCGGGGCTGTCGTCAAAGACGGAAGTCAACCAAGGATCACCAAAGAAGGTCGACGAAAGCTCGCGCTTCAGCCGCACCTCTTTGTCACATTCTTCTTCAGGTTCCTCGTCCAACTCCGTTAGCTGGTCTTGGGAGTCTCCACCGTGGGAGGCGGTTGGAGATAATGGAGCCAGTGTCCTGGGATGATTTTCCGGAATCAACTGGAGGCTTGCAAGACTGTCCCAGCTACGATAGTGGAACTTGAACGTTGCGAATGGGGTGTCCTTTGGGTCCTTCAGGTGCCAGTCGTAGAACTTTGCGTCTTGGGGCTTCTCGAGGAGTCCACCACTTGGCATACTACGCACAATATTAGCATGTATGCCCCAAATTCTGCATCAAACTTGGCGATGCGACTCACACGATACCGTATCCTTCCTGGTCCTTGAAGTCGGTTGGCTTGGGCAATCTTCGTTTTCGTCCTCTCGCACGGAAGACCATGACCTCGATCAATCCCCCATCATTTGCAGCAGATCGCTCCTCATCATCCTCGAATGCGAACATGAACGGTCGCGCCTCTGTACCCATATTCCTGAAGACCGTGCCTTCGTGCTTGTAATTCCATCTATCGCTCGGCTCGAAGAGTCCTCTCATTACCTGGCCGCTCGGTCTCGACTTGGTATTCGTTCCCCAAGATGTGATATGCCTGCCGTTCATATGAAGCTTGAAGTAGAACCATTCGGAGTGGATCTCAGCTGCTTCAACAACGTTGTACTTAAGCCAGAACCGTTTTCCTGCTCTCGCGTCAGCTGTTGTCCGAGGACTATTTGACACTCAACAAACCTGGCATTGATGGGATATAAACCGAGACCACTGATCGACGACCAAGGAAACGATCTGCCTTGCTATCCGAGGATGCGGATGGGGGCGTCCAGTCGACATCGGCTTTGGGACCTTTGCGCAGGTCTGGGCTGCGATACGTGAATTGCGAACTCTCAGGGTGCGGAAACTCGGGATGCGTCATCAATTCCACCTGCGATACGATGGATATCTCGATACCTCGGTGAATAGGCATCGTGGGCGGGGGTAACGTGTGATTTTGGGATGTTGGGATGTTGGAATGTCTGCTCTGTGTCGATCGCGCAAAGTTGTTATGGTCGCAGAATGCTCATATCAACAAGACGTAGCCTCGCCTACCTAAACTTCGCCAGCTCATGTCCATATACAAAGTCGTGCAATGAATGACAATGAATGTACCAACATGATGTAGAAAAAAGAAAAAGATGTACAGTTTGGAGAGCATCGATGTGCAGCACACATTACAGGCAAAGAAGTCTGATATTTTTGTCTGGACAGATTTGGAAGGCACGACCATCCTCCCAGGGGTTCACAGGAAATATAAAGCAATGATTTCCACGTACAAAACAACTTGTATGGCCTATGATGGTTTCTCAAAGGCAAAAGCATGTCCTTTACGCACGGTATTGAATTTCAAATATTGGACCAAAGCCTTATTTGGGTTCTAAACGCAGAGCAGGTTCTTACCTACCGTTCTCTGACCATCTCGCATGATCTTGATCTTGGTCTTGTATCCAGGGAAGACTAATGAAATATTTTGTGAGGGCATGAAGTGTAATTCGACCTTAGGAAATGAAAGAAATGTTTTGTCGAATGCCTTACACTTACCGTATTTCACACAGTGTCCCAGTACACCCGTACATCACCGAAAGTCCGGGCTTCTTTCAGTATTGTGACATTCATCCTTACATACAAGCCTTTCATAATTCACTCCCTCACTTGCCCAGCACAGCCTTGGTATCCTCTTCCTTGTCTATCAGTCCCAGGTTCCTGATCGCGCCGGCCTTTGGTGCATCGTCTCGAGGGTTCGCAGCCGCAGCTTTCCTGTATGCTTGTTGAAGCGATCGTACTCTTGAGGCCTATCCGTGGAGTTGTCAGATCCTATTTTTCCACCATATCGGTAACTCTCCTCTGCTCTACCTACCTCCTTCTGGTGATGTAGGCACTCATAGTAGTCCTCCAACACCGGCGCACACTTCTTCTTCCCTGAATCGTCATCGTTCGTGGTATTAACGACGTAGCAAGCTAGAACCTCTTGCCAGAAGGGAAAGCACCTCGATGGTCCTAGAGCACGCATTGTCAGCCATTGAAACTCAATCGCATACTCTCGCTCTCAATGCTGTCCCATGTCCACTGCCACCACCAGCGAGCTGTCTTTTGAAATTCGGCCCTCATTGCAGACAGAAAATAACACCGCTTCTCTCTCAACTCACCTCCATTGAGACCGTAGCCGGAAGACATGGTGATATGAGCAGTTGGATGTCGAATCTGGTGAAGCTCTGGAGACGTGAGGTCGGAACGAGGGCGGCAGATCGCCCCACAAATACTAAGCCTCACCCGAACCCAGAAAGTTGGCTCGGAGTTCTTTCAGCCCTCCCGCCAGCCAAACCAATCTTCAAATAATGACAGACTCGGATCTTTCGCCAGCCAAATCTGTGCTTTTGGCTGTTCATTTGGCCAGCAAAGGACACATAGCGACGCTTCGAACCCTCATTTCCTTCCATCGTAAGACCCTACATACCGAACTGGTCCTCCGCATCCTCCTCAGCCACCTTCCAGAAAGTCTCGACTCTTCGGATTATGTCTCTTTTCTGGAAGATTTGGAATCTGGGAACATAACAGAAGACGTAGAAGCTCCTGTCGATGCCTCGCCTCTCCGCGAACTATGCGATACAGAAGCAAAAAGCAAGGTGCGGAAGCTGGGTCTGCTCACTCTACTATGGCCAGATGCACCACAAGATGCCCCAGCAGAGCCTTTCGTCCGCTTTCTCATACATCGATCAATACGGATAGACCTGTATACTGGCCTGATCGCCCAGATACCTGAGCTCATTGGTCCTTTCCTACACCTGTCTAGTTATCTGAGAGTATGGGCTATATCTACGGTGCTTCCTCTTCTACGCCTGAACTACGAATATCACCCTGAAGAAGCTACGATTCTGACAATAACCAAATTCGAAGGATTGAACGACCGCGCAGGGGTCACATTACTGTTGGGAAAAACTGGCCAAGGCCAGACAAACGACTCGACCTCTGATCTTACAGTTGGACGAGATCTCAAAGGCTTGATCGGGCCATGGATGTACGGGGATACAAGGACAAAGAGGAGGATGCTCCGAAGGAAGTCCTCGCTCACACTGCATGCCTTGGAACCACAGATGGACCTCTCGGATAGAAATCATAAATATCTGGGCTGGGAAGAGGTGTTTAAGTGGATAGTTGGAGAAGCATGCGCATCATGGAAAACAGCAGTAGAAGCCATAGAGCAATGGGGTGGCCCTGGAGACGTGGACCTTGGAGGGTGGGACGATGGGACCGTGTGGCTGGACGAAGACGACCAACAACTTCTTGAGGCTCGTTATGCTCGCTCAGCTCTTGCTACAGCCTACCTTATTTCTGAAGAATCTGAATCGGCGTTGAATGGAGTTCAGCGCGTCTTGACGCGTATTACCAATCTCCTGGACCAAGACAGAATACCGACTTTAGAAGCTGCCTGTGCGCTTCTGTCTCCTGTGCCAGCTCTCGATGAGAGCAACATTTTGTCGCGCAAAAATTCTTCATACTTGCGAAATGAGCTTTTGGATGAACAAAATCCCTTGACCGCCCCGAAGGAAGAACCGATCAAACTACTCCATGCTCTACTGATAAGTGCATTCTTATGTACAAGAGCTAAATTCCCGGTCAGCATCAGACGGGCTGGCGAACTTGCCCTTCTGCAAGATGAGCATGAACAGAGACTTGTCTTCCACGACCTCATGAATCGCATTGGCAATGGCCCCAAGGAAGACGATAAGTACTGGATAAGAGCTAGAAATGAGATTCTATGGCTATCGAACTGGGGTGCGGAGGAGCTTTCGGATGGTTCCGAGCCCACCAAAGCTAAAGGGAGGGGCATCTTTGGCCAGCTCTCCCGAGAATTGATTGAGGCCGAATTTCTCAAAACGCTCCTGACAAATACAAGTAGTGGGTAACTTCCTCACGGTCGAGACCAGAAGCTTACTTTGATCGCAGGGTGTACACTCGCCCATTCCCTCTACGTGGGCGTATCAGATCAACCACTGCCAAAGGCCGTTCTCCACGACGTTATCATCTCGACAGCCATGAACGCCTACGACAATGCGACTAATGCTAACAAAACTCGGGGTAGCCTGAAAAAATGCAATGATGTGTAGGTGTATAGAGATCCTTTAGTCGAAGTGATGCTGACATGGAGCCAGATTACTCTCTTTCAGTGATATATTGGATGGGTCAGAGAGCTACGAGGAAGGAAAATTTCTGATCCGACTCACTCATAATGTTGGAAAATACCGTCTGGTTTTCAAGCAGGGCGAGCCGTTCAAACCGGTGACTCTCCGAGTTCATAACGATCCTATCTCGATCATCGGCAAGATTCTTGAGCAAAATCCAAAAAGCTATGCCCAGATTGGAGAATTTCTGGACATGGGTCACGACATGGTGATGGCTGGTTTGAAGGGCGTAAAGCTACAGATGGGAGATGTTCCACAAGCGGAACAGAAAGCAATTGCTGAAAAGCGTGTGGTCAGCATGTGCATAGATGCTGCTCTTGCGGAGGATGACTTCGAGACTGCGTATTCATACGTGGTAACGTGGTTGAAGGATATCGCTGGCCGAGCTCATGCTCGCTGTCCGGACTTGGAACGGAACAAGCTTGGCCTCTTTGCGGAACCACCTCCAAAGGTTCTCGACGACTGGTCTTGGCGAGCTGCGCTGCAAGCTGGAAAGTATGAGCGGACATCGCACAGTATCAAGCCTACACACTTGGGCAATACAAGCGGAGACCTCGATATACGGCATCTCGAACAACGTATGGATTGTTTATCACAAGCTCTGCGGCTAGCCCCAAAGGCTACGTTGCAGGATATTATCAATGTTTACCGTCGTTGCGAAGAGAAGCTTGAGGCCCTCGTGAAGAAGGAGGCAGAAGAGGAGGCAAAATGGGAGGCTCAAACAGATGGACAGATTATGCCGGGTGGCTTTGCAGAAACGCCTCAGAGGAAAAATATCGCGGCTAGCACATCCCGAGCAGTGGAAGAAGAACCCATGTCCTTGTTCGACCTCTCACGTGCCAGCATGGCGAAGGCCCAGGGCGGATTCTCGGCCCTGTCGATGCTTAGGGTCGGTAATAAAACCACGCAAGAACCGGCCACACCAGACTCTAGAGAAAGTGGGGACTTTTCGCGAACTTCGACGCCTGACTATGGTGCGCCCAAGAATCCGATGAGGAAGAGGGATCAATTGAAGAATGTAGCAGTTGGTGGACTTGCCACCGGGGTAGGATGGCTGCTTGGAGCTCCACCCGTGAATCACAACGAGGAAAACGATCCACATTGAGGTTGATGAAAGGAGTATTCTTTGTTTTGCAGTACTTGAGCCGGAGTCTGGGGATATTTTGATCCAGCATGGAGGCGGCGTTTTTTAGCTTTAATGATGCGACGACTACTTGAATAGCAGCATCCCGCAGAATATCCAGAACAAAACCTACCTAGTTCGAGTGTCCATCTACCACCTCTATGCCACATTCTCTCTTGATAAGCCATTTGAATACCGCTTACTTCTCCCGGAACCATCCTTCTTCCCCGCCTGGATCCACGCTCTGGCCTCCTCAACCGTCCGCTTCAACTTCTCCGCATCGTTCTTCAGCTCCTGCGTGCTATCAGGCCCCGGAACCTGTCTCCCCTTCTCAAAGGCCGGTCTCCTCAGCAGTTTCTCCTCCCACGCTTTTAGAGCCGGAAATTGGTCAATATCGACGCCGGCCCAGAAAGCGGAGCGGACCCAGCCCCCTGCATGGCTGTCAGGCAGATGAATTTTAAATTTTAGGTGAAGATTTGCGAGATGGAACGGTATAGTATATAGCACCAGCAGCGTGTATTTGTGATACTGAAGGGGGGAGAAGTAGGTACTTACAGTGTGCGATGTCGGCGATGGTCAGCTTGTCGCCAACGAGGAAGCCGGACGTGGACTTCTCGAGGTGGGTGTTGAGGACACCATAGAGGCGGCGGGTTTCGTTCGTGTAGCGCTTTGCGCCGTATGCTATGTACTCCGGGGCGTAGCGGTTGAAGTGGTTGGCTTGGCCTTGTATGGGGCCTATGCCTGCGTTGAGGAAGAAGAGCTGGTTTGGTGTTAACTACCTAGCTACCTAGCTCACTGTCTATAGCCATCCCACTAAGAAGACACTTGAGGTACTACCTACCCACGAGTTGACCTCGTACGCTTCTCTCGTGCCCGCCGGGTAGGAAATCTTGTGGTCCTTGTCATACTGCTCGACAAGATACTGCTGGATACTTCCAGACTCGAACAGGTTGATAGTCTTGCCGTCAGTGAAAGTATCCGTCAGAGCGGGCATGCGTCCATTGGGGTTTATCTCGAGGTACCAAGGCTCTTTCTGCGTGTTCTTGGTCAGGTCAATGTTGGTGAACTCGTAGGGGAGGCCCAGCTCCTCGAGTGTGATGGGTATCTTGATCCCGTTGGGGGTCTGGATTGTGTAGAGATGGATATTGGGACGGGACATGGTGAGAGCCTGAGAGGTGAGAGAGAGAGATGAAAGTTGATGTGAGCTGAGAATCGTGTGAAAGCATTTCCATGCAAGTTGAAGTACCTAGGTAACCTATATGCAGATACCCGCCCAGTAAGGGCTGGTTTTGATTCAACGCCGAATTGTACAACGACGTTTGGTTTATAGATATCGACCGAATTTGTTTATATCGACCGAATTTGTTTTAAAGATTTTGACCCGTATTTCTCGTGACTTCGATACGTTCTATGACTTCATTTCGAGCGCTAGATTAACCATACCTACTTGTAAGAACAAACGTGGTAAAAGTAGAGATTAAAGCAAGACTACTACAAGACTACGGAAGTTGGTGGCTTGGCTAGCGTACAACCTCACCACCCGATGACTGTAGGGAGAGTCAGGTCATAAGGTGACTACGGAGGTTGTACGGATTTGTACTGTATGGGGTGGCGAAACGGGTTTACAGCCGGGGTTCTACAATCGATTTCAAGGTTGAACCAAACGCCGGGCACCCCTTTGAATTGTAGAATTCGGGCCAGGTTTTACAATTCGGCGTTGAACCAAACCAGCCCTAATACTACTAGATTGGCAGATGCCGCCGGTGCTTGGTAACCGCGGAGTGAGGCTCGGTAAGAATTCGTAACGAGAAATGCCATCATCACGTGACACTTGGCTCCTACGCTAGGCGCTAGTCTACTTGAGGGATTACGAAACTTGGTGTCCTTCTTGCCATCAACCCTTTTTCTTCCCTAACAGATTTCACGACAAAGATCGATATCATCGATATTATCAACACAACAACATGGCGTGGAGACAACAAGGAAGCACAGGTTCCAATGCCCTTCCTCTGGGAAACAAGCGCAGGTTCCCCGGCGATGAGGCATCTCCTCAGCGCGTCGAGAATGCCTACAACTCGCAGCCTTCCCAAGGTAGTAGCTACGATGGAGGCTTCAAGCGTGGTCGCAGCCCCGTAAAAGGTGAGCATATCCTCTTTATAAGCTGCGTAGACCTGTAATAACAATTATCTCGCAGAGGAACCTTCTGCCGATGGATCCCGTCGCCGCAAGAAGAGAAACCGCTGGGGTGACTCCACCGAGAACAAGGCTGCCGGTCTCATGGGACTTCCAACTGCTATCATGGCCAATATGACCAGTGAACAACTAGAGGCATACACTCTGCACTTACGTATTGAAGAAATCAGTCAGAAACTTAGGATTGATGATGTCGTTCCCGCCGATGGTGACAGGTATGTCTTTCGACCCTCCCGCCCAGGAGAACCAGGCTAACACTTTGCAGATCTCCTTCTCCCCCACCTCAATACGATAACTTTGGACGTCGTGTCAACACTCGAGAGTATCGATACAGAAAGCGTCTTGAGGATGAGCGCCACAAGCTGATTGAGAAGGCCATGAAGGTCATTCCTAACTACCATCCGCCCCAAGATTATCGCCGTCCTACTAAGACACAGGAGAAAGTCTACGTCCCAGTCAATGACTACCCAGAGATTAACTTCAGTATGATTGCTAACCCTCTAACATTTCTTCTAACCTCCCTCCGCAAATTACCCATTTTCCTTCTCAACCCCTCCTACCGGTGACCACCTCTAGCATCACAATGCGAGGCAATGTCATCACTAACTCTACTCACTACATTTTGCTATTAGCCTTGATCATACACTAACACTTAGCTTGCGATTTACTAAAGTTGGCTTACTTATCGGCCCTCGTGGCAACACTCTGAAGAAAATGGAGACAGAATCCCAGGCCAAGATTGCTATCCGTGGAAAGGGGTCCGTCAAGGAAGGAAAAGGCCGTTCCGATGCTGCTCACACCAGCAACCAGGAGGAGGATCTCCATTGCTTGATCATGGCAGATACCGAGGAGAAAGTCAACAAGGCAAAGAAGCTGATCCACAACATCATCGAGACTGTAAGTTCCCTCTCCTCAGGCAGCTTTCTAATACTAAATTATCAAGGCTGCTTCCATCCCTGAGGGTCAGAACGAGCTAAAGCGCAACCAACTTCGTGAGCTTGCAGCACTCAATGGTACCCTTCGCGATGATGAGAATCAAGCTTGCCAAAACTGTGGTCAAATCGGTCACCGAAAGTACGACTGCCCAGAACAGCGCAACTTTACTGCAAACATCATCTGTCGTGTTTGCGGTAATGCAGGCCACATGGCTAGAGACTGCCCTGATCGGTATGCTAATTGGATCCGTCAGACGAGACAGACGAAACGAATACTGACTGGCTACAGACAACGTGGTGCTAGCTGGCGCAATGATGGTCCTGGTGCAGGCCCTGCCGCTGGAGTTGGTCGCATTGGTGCCGGAGATGCAGTTGACCGAGAGTACGAGGTAAGCACACCCATGTGGACACAGGTAGATAACGGCTGATGTTTTGTAGCAACTCATGCAAGAACTCTCTGGAGGAGCACCTGCTACTGGCGAAGCCCCAAGACGTATCGAGTCTGGCCCGGGTAGTGGCTCAGAACAACCTCCCCAAGACGATGTCAAGCCTTGGCATCGTGGACCCACCGGTGCGAGCGCTCCATGGCAAAAGCGAGGTGATGATCGAGGATTCGACTCTCGTGATTCCGCACCCACAGGACCCTCTGGGGGCGCCGCGCCGTGGGCTAGAGGAGATCGTGGCCGTGGTGGTGAAGCACGTGGTGGAGACTCTTACTACGGTGGTGGTCAATCTGGCTACAACGCTCCTCCTACTGGTCCTTCTGGTGGTTCTGGCAATGCCGCTCCCTGGGCACAACCAGCCCCCCCTGCTTACCCTGCAGCCGGATATGGTGGCTATGCTGCTCCTGGTTACGCCGCTGGCTACCCTCCTCAACAAACCATGGGAGCTCCTCCTGGTCTCGCCGCTCCTCCAGGACTGACTGGTACTGGTCTGAGTGCTCTTCTGCAGCAGTTCGCAGGTAGTCCCCCACCTCCTCCACCCACCTCGAACATTCCTCCTCCTCCTCCACCAGGGGGTGCACCGCCGCCACCTCCATCAGACGCCCCTCCGCCACCTCCTGGAAATTAGACGTCGACCAACCCTGGACCGACCCGCTAGGATGCTAACCTAAGGTTTGCCTTTTGAATGATACAGACATGCTTTGCGTGGTAGTTTCCGCCCCGGAACTAATTTTTATCTTCTCTGGTTTGGTACGTTTTCGTGGCGCATTAACTGTATTCATAGCAATAAAATTTTGAGCTCCCCAACCTTTTTGGCTTATTTTTATCGTGAGATGGATTGTTTCAGTTGACTGGCTTGGGCGTGTTCTGCTCTTGGGTCATGTCTCATACAAAGGTATTTACGTTTCGACGTCGTGTCCATAAGACGACAATTTCCACAAGCATGCTCACGTGAGTTATCTCAGGGAGATCAATGTTGTCTCGCTATACAAGTAGCTATGAAGGACCCTCCGCGACCTCGGCACTGCCAAGATGATTGCGATGACTCAAACCTGGCCATAGTTTTCTCGCCATATTGATTGTCCGGTGCCCGAGAGTTCTACTCGGCGAGTCCTAGTTCGAGGAACCTCGAAGTGGATCCCGAAGGGCGTTGAGAAGATCAAATGATTGGTGATTTCCATGACGCTGCTTGCTCCGCTACCATGGTCAGAGTGTCCGTTTGGTCTTGGTCTCCAGCGACATGATCGACAAGACAGTTTCGCATTGCTAGACTCGGGGCTGGCTCCGGGAATGAGCAGTGCAGACATGAGGTCTGCGTGGGATGTGAGAATAGGGTGGCATACGGTGGCTATGAGTATTTTAAATGGGAAGCCAGAGTTGGGCATGAAGTGAAAGCTAAGGGGCCGGGTGTTGGTGTAGAGATTTTCGGGCCGGAGAGGATGGAAAGCGTTGGAGTTTTGGAAGGCATATGGAGGTTATGGAGGACAAATGATTTCATCAGACAGCAGCTAACTTCGTCAGGATGGAGTCAGGCCAAAGTCAGACGAACATTGTTGAAAGTGTGTTCTGCTGGCAAGTGCCAATTCTATCATTCATTTTTGGTAACGAGCTTCTTTTGTTAAGTCCTGTCAACTATAACTATTACATATATATCCCCAAGGAAATCTATCTCAAAATCAGAAATACGACCCCACCGAAAACTCCAAATCGCATTCCCAGTAGATCTGGGAGAGACAAGAAAAGACTATGCATAAAGTCTCCCCTGCGATTATTTCGTAGTCTTCCTCTTCTTCTGCGACGCCTTGCTTTCAGTCGGAGCCTTACGCTTCGACCTCCTCGGCTGCACGCTTCCAGAAGAGTCGTCAGCAGCACTCTCCTCTTCGTCGTCCTTTGCCCCCCCTGCCTTGGAGGTCTTGGAAGCTAGGCTCGGTCGGCCACGTAGCTTGCGCGGTGAAGCCTGTCGTGGGCTTGTTGCCTTGGGGCTTTTGTTCTTGGTGACACGATGGGTGAGCTCCTTCGGAGCTGGCGTGCGGGCTCTTGTTGCTTTCGCTATTTCATTCGTCATTCCTGTGTTTTTACCACTACATATGATGGGAAGCGACTTACGAGTGGCCTTGCTTCTAGGTGAGGCTCTCCCTTTTTCGATTAATACCATTACATTTGAGCTGGAACCCGGCTCAGGCGAATCTCCGACTACTATATGGGCATCCTTCGCCTTCTTGGGCTTCTTCCTGGGCGATGGCTTGACGGCAGGAAACTTGTTGCCGATCGGTGAGAAGTGGACAGGCTGCCTCTTCGCATCGTCTGCATACTTCATGACATCGTCCAGAATCTTCACCTTCAGATCTTTGACGTAATCCTCGAGCTCTGCAATCTTGAGCTTCAGCTCTGCAATCTCGCTGCTGCGATCTTCTTTGGCTGTTGCCAGCCTCGCTACGAGATCTTCGTTGGCTGCCTCCAGCTCGGTGACTTGTTGCTCGAGCTCACTGGCTCGGTCTATCGACCAGCTTCCGTCATCGAGATCGTCTTCTTGAGCCTCGCCGCTGTCTATATCTGCGGGAGGGTGACCGTTGTTGAACGACTCGCGGAGTTCCAGGGCTGCATCGGCAAGAGAGGCGAGGCGCGCATTATCGTTCTTGTTGTGGCGCTGTTTACGCAAGATGGCGATCAAATCTTCGTCAAACAGATCCTTGTATCTCCCTGCGATTTGCTTGATGGTCTTCTCAAGATCGCGGATCTGATCCCGCAAGTTCTTGGCCTTAGTGGCGTTAGTAGCCTTGTCCTTGTGTCGCAGAGCCTTGAGGCTGGCAACTTCTTCGACGAGGCTTACGATCTCCGCTGTGTTCTCGTCGTCGGGTAGAGAGCCACGTGGGGTGCCGTTGTCCTTCTGCTTCTGTAAGCGTGTGTTCTGAGCTTTCAGCTTCTGTACCTCTTTTTTCTTTTCGCTGAGCGCGGCCAAGCAGACGACGAGCTCGGCCTCGACTGCTTGGCCGACCTCGATTGTGGCATGTGCCTCCTCGAGCTCTCCTCGTACATTCTGCAGGTTAACAAGATGGCTTTCTAGCTCTGCGTGGTAGAAATCGACGCTGTCTCTCTCGGTCCTCAGTTCCTCGATTTCGGCACGTGCCTCCAGGAGTTGAGCATGGTAGTTGTCTTGCTGCTGGTCTTCTGGCATCTCCAAGGAAGCGGTCTCCAGTGTGGACTCGTCCAGTAGAGACGAAAGATAATGGACCCTGCGCTCATAGCACAGAAGTTTGCACTTGGTCTCCTCACAATCCTTCAAGCGTGCATTCTTCTCATCGATCTGTGCATTGAGCGAGTTGACCATCTGGAAGAGTCTCGCATTGTCCGACTCCGAGGGTCTGCGTCGTAGCTGGGCTATCAGGAATTTGATTTGAGTACGCAGCTTTCCTGTTGTGTCCTTTGCATTATCGGAATTTCGGAGGTGCTCTCTCCGTATATCGTTCACTTCGCGGACCATTTCTTCAAGTGCGTGGGCGCTGGCAGAATCGCTTCGCCGGGTTTCATTGACCAGGTTGTTCAGCCTTTCGATCCTCTTGCGCTGGTGCTCGATTTCGCTTCTGTGGTATCTCTGTACAGTGTCCTCCGGCAGACCTGGCACAGATCCGCACCTATCACATGGTCCATCTCCTGCATCATCTCCGCCGACTCGAAGGTCTGCGCTGTCTGGACGGTATCTTCCTCTGCATAGGACATCGATAAGTGCGTTCAGGCGGTTGAGCTCATCACTCGCATCTTTAAGATCCCTCTTATCGTCGTTGCACTTCTGCAGTTGTCTTCTGAGCGTTTGGTTGTCTGCTTTCAAGCGAGTAAGCTCCTCCTGGTCCAAGTGCGGATCTAGTATGAGTCTCTCGATCTCCATCTCGCGCTCTGCAATCTGTCTTCTCAACTCTTCTGATTCGGCGTTTATCGACATGTCCATGGTCTGGTCTTCGAGCTCATTTACGCGCGTGTTCAGAGCAAAGACCATGTCTCGTTCGCCTGTCAGTTCTAGTTTAAGCGAAGCGATTCTATCGGACTCGGGAGCGTCACCAGGCTCTGCAGCAGCGTTTGGCCTGATTTGCAACTCGGCGATCCTAGTCTGGGCGTCTCTCATGCTGTTCCTTAGCTTGGTGATCTCTGTGGCATCAGAGACCCGAGCTGCTTCGTGGCTGATTCTGGCCGCATCCAGCATTGCTTGGGTTTTGGTGAGTTGGTGCTGGATATCAGCAACTTCCTGGCGATGATGCTCACGGAGATCAGCTTGGTATTGTCTCGCGACAGCTTCACTATGTAAGGTGGTTTGCAGAAGTACGTCCAGGTTCAAGTGCAGTTGCCGAACTCTTTCGTTTAGGGCTGCAAAATCTGGTTGTGTATCGTCGTCAGCGGCAATTGCTGCGTTTGCTACATCGCGCTCGCTTCTGGCCCGGTCTCTGTCCCTATTTGCGTTTGCCAATAGCAAGACAACGCTGGAGAGCTGGCTTTCGGAAGACTCAAAAGCAGATTTGGTATCTTCAAGCTGTTTTCTGAGGCAGGCGACGTCAACAGCTGGATCGGGAGCGACAGCTTGTGCTGAAGTCAATTCTTGGCCGAGTCGGGCAATTTCAGCTTCAAGTCGGTCGCCTCTTAGGGTCGCACTGTCTGCACTGCGTAGCGCTGCGTTTCGCGCGGCCATCATGGCGTTTCTTTCGGCTGTGGCCTCGTTCCTTTCGCGTACCGCTCTAATCAATCGTTGTTCCAGCTCACCACGACCGGCTCCTTCACCACCTGTGTACTCGTTCCAGTCGCGTGTAAGTTGTGCGATCTGCCGATCACGTCTCTCGATTTCGTCATCTTCTGCATCTTGTGTTCGCCTTTCATATTCCTCAAGCAACGATCCCGTATCGTCAATGGCTTGCAGTCTGGGCATCTGTGCTTGGAGTCTGTCTCGCTCACCGGTCAGCCGTAGAACCTCGTAATTAAGCTTTCCGATGTTAATATTTGCAGCTTGTTCTGCTGCAATGGCCGCCTGCCTCTGGGCATCTGCATCATTGTATAGGGCAAAAGCTTGAGTAAGCTGGGCTTGGAGGTCGTCGACCTGGTACACGTTGCCGGCTGCGTCGACCTGAGCTTGGAGCCGTACAATCTGAGCTTGAAGATCATCCACTGACTGGTCACCACGTTGATTGTACCGATCCAACAGATCGGCATATCGTCTCTCCAGTATACCCAGTGTAATGTCTTGGCCCAGGCTCTTTGTCTTGAGTCTTACGAGTTCCGTGTCGGGATCGAGAGCTGCCTTCTTCTTGCACATTTCCGGGCTCCTGTTCGAATTTCTAATGAATCTCTTAAGATCCGCTATTTTAGCGGCGTCAGATAGTTGATCATCATCATCAGGTTCCGCTTCATGCAAGTCGGAAACTCGTCTCGCCAACTCATGGATGTCAGCCTGGAGCTGACTATTCTCTTTCAGGATCTCCCGATGTGCTTCTGTCAATTCGAGTAACTGAGCGGCTAGTCCAACATTGATACTCCCCCGATGGGCAATATCATGGACTTGAGCCAATGCAATGTCCAGCTCACCTTGTAGGCGAGCTCTCTCTCGTTCCATGTCTTCGGGGTTGTACGCCGGGTCGTCCTGAGAGTCCTTGCAAGCCTGAAGTTGTCGAGTCAACTTCACGACTTCCCTATTGAGTGATTGGAGCTGGAGATCAGATGCCTGATCAGCTGGATCGAGCTCGAGAATATAGTCGAGGTTTTTTAGCCTTTTCACTTCGGCTTGCAAGCAATATTCCTCGCTCTCCAGCTCTTGGAGATCGTTCCCTGGGACGGGTTGAGCCTCTCGACAGTGTCTGAGGTCCTCCCCCAGGCCTCTTCTGCTCGTTTTCGCGCTGTCCAGCTGGGCCTGCAAGGCTTGCCTTGCTTCTAGCAGTTGCTCGGTATCGAATTCGCGTGGTCCAGTTGGCTGGGCGCTTCTGCATTCTGCGAGCTCATGCGTCAATCTCGTGTTGGTAATATTGAGGAATGCATTCTGAGCCTGGACATCCACGACCATTTGATTGGCTTGATCCAACGCACTTTGTATCATTTGATTTGTTGCCGACTGTTGTTGAAGTTGGGTCCTCAGACTAAGGCTGTCACTGCTACGTCTTGAACTCGTGGTCGGAGACAACAGATCCGAATCTTGTTGAAGTTGGCTCCCCAGACTAAGGCTGTCACTGCGTCTTTGACTCGTAGTCGGAGCCAACGAACCGAGATTCTCGAGTTGGTCAATCCTATCCTGCAAGATGTTGGCATTTGCGATGTTTGTATCGTACAGCCTCATGAACTCGGCCAAGTCGATGTCGCACAGAGGATTAAGGGACGATGCGCCTCGCAGCATGATGCCACTGGCGCCGTTCGATTTGAGGTAATCCTCGAAGACAGCGATCACGTCACTGAGATTCTGGGCCAGAGGGAAAATGCTTGAGGCGTTGGCGAGTTTTTCGACAATATCCGCGAGAACTCCTGGGCTGATGCCATTTGCAGCGCTTTTCCCATTGGAGCTGGTCGTGGCGGCGTTGATGTTGTTGTTGTCCAAAAGTTGACTCCTCAGGTGGTCAAGCTCATTTTCGAGACGTCGATGCAAATCTGGGTCTATGGAGTCACCGTGCTCTGCTTCGATTTCCCTGATTCGGGATTCGAGCGCCTTTTTCTCCTCGTTACAGCGGGCAGCTGCCTCAGCGGCCGCGGCTTTCCTAGCCTCTGCAAGATCCGCCTCGTGGTCCGCTATCCTTGTCCTCAGGCCGGCGATTTGGACGTGTAGGTCATGCTTCTCGGCCTTGGAAGCGCTTTTCTGTTGCTGCAAATTTGCTTCTGCGTCTTGCGCTCGTTTATCGCTGGCTTCCTTCCGTGCCAAGAGTACCTTGTTGCTGGTGCTCGCGTAGATGTTGAATGTCTGATCACAGTCATCTCTCCACACTCTTGTAGTATCGATCAACAGGTGGATGGCGTTGGCGAGGGATTGAAGTTGCTGGTCCAATAGCGGTGCCTTGGCTGCACAATTAGGATTCGCAGCTGAGTACACCTCCCAAGAGTCCTGGAGCTCAACGAGCTGTCCCTCGAGATATCTGAACTCGTTGTCCACTGCGAGTTGTGTTCTCTCAAATTCGATGTTTCGAGCTAGTGACACAACACCTCCACTGACAACCACGTTCGCGATGGTCTCCAACGCTGCGTCGTGTTCACCAACATGATATTCGTTCCGGAGTGTCCATCCGTGCGTTCCATACCAGCCTTCCGTTAAAATGACATCTTCGCCAGCACACTCTGCATCTTGGGTGATGGCATCCACGCTGCTTTTGATTTGATCTTCTGTGATTTTCACGCCTCGGGAAAGGTCTGCGATAGCAGCTCTGTTCACCTCCCGACGTTTCGCTAGGGCTTCCAGCATTTCGCTCCGAGGTCCTTCCACTCGTCCAGATCTCAGTCGTCGGAGTTCACCTTTCAATTTCGTGATCTCTGTGGTGCTGGCAGCCGGGACTTGGGCACCTCCGGCATCACGATTAGCGGTAGCATCTCGTAGCTTACGCTCTGCTTCGTCTGCCACCTTTGTCAACATCTCGACCTTTGCCTGTGCCGCTATGGTGGTTTTGCGTAGCATGTCGTACCCAGTCTCCACAGCGAGTTCGTAGCTGGCTTGTGCGAGTCCCAACCTGGTAAGCCTCGGCTCGAATGCGAGGAAGACATCACTAAGTCTAGCAGAATCTAGCCCAGCATTGCCCATGACTTGTTTCGTGTCCTCTATTGCACTATCGAGGTCGTCAACGCTAGACTCTAACCATTGGTACGCTTCCGCCCAATCGGCCTCAGCGGTCATCAAGTGCGTGTCTAGATCGGCTGGAACTCGAGTCGCCGCACGATTAATAAGTGCCAGCTCCCCTTTCTGTCTCTCAATCTCCTTGAGAGCTTGTTCGACCTCCAACAGCAGATACTGAACTGTCGCTTGACCCTCATTATTCGAGGCTGCCGCTTGAATTCGGCGGAGTGTAGCTTCCGTGTCGAGATAATCCTGCGCCGTGGCAGAATTTGTCGGATCTGGTGCCGCCATCGCAGCAATAACTGGTTCTTGGTCTCAATAGACCGAGATGTTGCGGTGGTGTTGGATGTGGGTGAGGTCGGTACTGCTCGGGTCGGGAAGACTTTGCAAGTGGGAAGGTCGCCCCGAACAATCAGATGGTAGATACTTATGAGCTCTTTGGACCTTTGTCCCTTCTTGTATGGCTTGTCCCAATGCATCGCGGGATACTGTTGCTTGCGGTCGTCGTTGTCGGTGAGGAGAGTTGAGGAAAATTCGGCCCTTTGTTGTCGAATCCTCGCTTGTCCTTCTTGGGCCGAATCCGGCCATTGGATTTCTCTAGTATTGGAGACAAAGGGTCAGAGAGAGGAATACTACTATTAAGTGTCTATGAACCGGATGCGGCACAATTTTGACATGCATATTCTGTTGATTGTTCCTGATTCGAAAGATCTTGAGCCGAAAGGTAGATGGTAGACTCAGGGGCTCGCTTAAGGGAGGACGTTGTTTTCATTCCACAAAAAGCCCCGATTCCACCCGCAGCGTCGTGAAGACCGATCAACTTCGCATGAGTGTTGTTGTAAAAGCTCTTGAAATTCCGAGATAATTACGAGTATCAAAATTCCTTGATTTCCCAGCTTGGTCTGGTGTCTGGGTCACCAATATCAATACAAGAATAGCCCCTGACACGGAACGAAATAAGCTCCAACCAGGAGAATAGTTCAGAGCAGAATTTAATGGTGAATACTACGAACTTTTATCATAGAGAGTGCCAGAGATGGCCGTCTTGGTGTCTTCAAGCGAACATCACGTGATATAACTTCCAAATTTAAACTGAATTTTTGATAAACTCAAATCTGGTTTATAGACATGGTTGTTCGAATATGATTCCGTCATACATGGTAACATACGTAGTAGCTACATAACAGGCATAGAAAGTGAAATGCATAACAATCCTCCCTCTCCACCCTTCCAACATTTTCGCAACTCCGGTAACTACTTAATTTTGCTAAAGCTATATGCAGCTAAGAGCAGCTCTTTACTGGCATTTGAAAGAGGAGATCGAATCGTCGAAGTGCTCAAGTCCGGGTGCAAGGAAGAGTTTTTCAATTTTGCCAGTATAATTGAAAGATCCGGATATCGGAAAGCAGTTGTAATCACTAGATATTTTGGATTAGCTATTTTAAAAATTCAAAAGGATTAAATTGAATACTTACACGAAGAACTCGCATTTTGCACCTTTGGTATCCAAAGAGCTGGTTCTATCCGAACCGAGCACCAGATCCCCTTTAAACTTGTCAGCTTTGTTTAAAGGAAAAAAAAATTGGAAGAGTCGTAAATAGGTGTCTGACAGCAATAGTTCGGTCTTGCCTCGGGAAATTGGCAGTTCTTAAAATCAGGATCGTCGCAAAGCGTGATAGTTCTTGAAGTTACGGCAGAAGCTGCTGCTATAATAGCTATGGCGACGATATTGTTGATAAACATCATATTGATAGATTGATAGAGAACCAGTTCTTTTAATGAATAGATACTGAGGATATAAAGAAGAAAGAGGATAACGGATAAGTCTTGAGCGGACTCTGAATACTTAAATACTTTCTTTTGAGCTTATATGCAACATAGTTTTTTAACTTGTTTCTCTTTTAGGTCAGTCGTAATACCGGTGGACTAGTCGCTCTTATATTAATTAAGGGCTAGGTGATGGAATTGCCGACTTCTAATATTAGAATCAGATTGCTGCCACGAGTGGGCCTCGAGTATAAAATGAAACGGTTTTGTTTCTAAGAATTGATTTCCGCACATCTGTAACGGCCATCAATGTACTACGTACTACGTACCCCCATGAATAAATGTCGGACCCAGTTTAGGCCCATATACGTAGTACGTAGTACGTAGTACCCTCGAAAAGAGATCGATCCGCTTTCCTAAAATACTACTACCACGGTACAGGCCTGGGTATTACCCCTCGAGGGTGCCTTAAAAGTTTAGTTTCCACTTTAAACCCCCTGTTTTCCCGGGATCGATTAAAGCGTCATAAGGCCATAAGGCAGAAACAGGCACACATGCATTAGACAGCCACTCGGACGCCGAACCTCCGACGGAGCTAATCTAAATCGGGTATAGCCTATATTATTCCCGCATTACCTAAAAGGCAGGTAGGGGGTCATTTGAGCGGTCCTCTGACCTTCTTTTATAAAAGACGATTATTGGACCGTTTAAAATCAGTACTAGTTACAAATCAAGAATAGTTCACCTTTTTGATCGTCCCCGAGCTTGGGACCGTCCTACGGCCGTCCTATGGCCGTCCCCGTCTATATTTTTAAAATAGGCTTATTAATAAGCTCGTTTTAAAAAATTGAAATAGTTCGATAACTGTTTCAAATAAGATATAATTGTAAATAAAAACTATTTCTTAAATAGAATCGTTTTAGTAATGATTTAAAAAATTCGATGCCAAGATATTTCTCGGTATCGCTGCTACGGCTTATATATCAACGCTTTAAATTTTTAATAATCGGAATCGATCGATTCAGTAAAAGTTCAACCGCGTAGATGCGCCTGGAGAACATTTAAGGGGGGGGGGGGGGTGGTGATAAAGGGGTGGTATACCTAGCAAAGGGTAGACTGCTAAGCAATTGAAAAAAAAAAAATTATTTGCTTATTAATCAACGTTTTCCGGGACGGTTTCAAGTTCGGGGACGGCCTTGGGACGGCCTTGGGACGGCCACAAGACGGTCTTAAAACGGTCTTTTTATAAAAAGACCGACTTTTATGAACGATTATTTAATCGATTAAAACCGTCTTATTTTAGTAATAATCTTTTCACGAAAAGACGAGCTCTTATAAAAAACGATTCAATCGATTGAAATAGTTTTATTTTAGCTACGATTTAAATAATTTAAATCGTTTGTTTTCAGATTCTACTCAATTTTAAATATCGGCTTAAGGTGATCCACTAACTATGCTAACCTCTTGGAATCGTTTCTTAAAGAGACTGTCATCGGATTGTCAGCTGACGGTTTAAATGACCCCCTACCTGCCTTTAAGGTAAGGATTCAGCTTTGAAAAGTATCTTTGAGCCAGTATTTAGCCTATACAGTGGAGTTGGCAGGGCTTTGAGCCATTAAGAAACTACCGCTCTATGATTTATGGGCCTAAACTGGGTCCGACATTTATTCATGGGGGGGGATAGTACTAGTTACAAATCAAAAATAGTTCACCTTTTTGATCGTCCCCTGAGCTTGGGGCCGTCCTACAGCCGTCCCTGTCTATATTTTTAAAGCAAGCTTATTAAGAAGCTCGTTTCATTAGACCAAAATAGTTCGATAGCCGTTCGAAACAAGATACGGTTATAAATACAAATTATTTCTTAAGTGGAATCGTGTTAATAATTTGATAGATTCGAGGCTAAAATATTTCTCGGTATCGCTGCCACGGCTTGTATATCAACGCTTTAAAAAAATTTATTGTCACCAACGGTGACCTAAGATAAATTCCAGTAGTTGTGGTGGTGATGAGTAATCCAAGGGTTGTGGTAGTGATGAGTAATCCAAGGGTTGTGGTGATAGTGAGTAATCTAAAGGTTGTGGTAGTGGTTAGTCATCCAATCACGTGAAACTATTCTATACGGATCTGGCAGGATTTGTAAGCGTGCCAAGACTTTTATTCCATATCAATCTATTAAACTTTTTTCGGAATAAGTCGGCCCGAATTAAATATGAAACACAGCTAAGCTCAATTCAGCTACCGCTATCAATTCTGCCGTACGTAACGCACGTCGCTAGCACTGCCTTACGTAATACGTAAAGCATTGCAGCTAAGCTACTACACGTAGCTTTAAGTTGCAAGCTCAAGTTGCAAGCTATTCCTTCGCCCCCCCCCTTTAACTCAACATAATAAAAGAATAAAAAATTGAAATTAAATTTCGATTAATTGATTAATATTAAACTTAGTAAGGTGTATCTTTTTATACAAAAATAATTACGATATATTAATTAATTGATTTTCTATTTTTTAAAAGAAGCAAATTTTACTATCCCGCCTTAATAATCGTCGGTTACCTTGAATTTAATTTATACAATTTACTTGTTTATTACAAATATTTTAATAACCATAACTTTAATTCAAAAAAACGTTATATAGATCGAAAATAAATGATTTAATATATTATATTACTAAACGTATTAATTATTAAATCAAAGTTAGTAGTGATGCACGTATTTTTTTAATAGATTTAAATAAAAGTCCGATTTTCGTGTTCTTCGCTAATTCTAATATATACGCGGCAATTCTGATATATACGCATTATCAAAATCGAAAAGTATATATCAAAAGTACTATTTTTATTACTTTAACTCAACACAATAAAAGAATAACAACTTGTAATTAAAATTCAACT